TGTGGTAATCCGTCGCGGCATTCGGTCGCTTATAAATGTTGGATTTATTCCCCTTTTCAGGCCTTCTTGTAAGTGAGTGTCTACAAATTGAACTGGCTGAACAGAGTACATAGGTATGACTGTGATAATGCTAAGTGGGTCTGACAAGTCAGGTAACTAAGACCTTGACCCCTGACCCCTAACACTGGCACGCTGTCACCCACAGAAAACCACCCACCTGAAAACTAATACAAAGGGTATGCCCATACACCATGTGAATCAACTACAAATGAAACGAAGTATGACACACATCATTGACTTCAAGGCTCTATGTAGAATTGATATACAGACTGTTGTATACCGGGTACATATATATATATATATGAAAGGTATACCTCACATCCAGTACATGTATTTAAAACTGGCATATTTTTTTGGTGGGTTTTATCGTCCTTAAACAGCCAAGATCATTTTGAGGCTGGGTCTCTTTTTAGTAGCTTGTACTAACAACCTAACTGAACAACATATGGCAGGTCCATCACATGCAATCTAAAGCAATTCGGATCATTTGTCTTTCCCTACGACACAACTACATCAGATCAGGGAATGTTACTTGAAACCAGCCACTTTGGTTTTTCACCTGAGATTTCATATGCCTGTGGTAACCGACAGGGTGGTCAGGTGGGACAGTGGTAATGCACTCGCCTTTCACCAAGCGGTCTGGGGTTCGATTACCGGAATGGATGTGAAAGGGTATGAGGTCACTTGCCCGACTGCGTGCATTTTCCCTGGGTACTCCGGTTTCCTCCCACATCAAGACCCCTCACGCGCTTCCATTCGCGCCAACAAGAGTGATTTATATAAGTTGGTAAAACTTGCTTCCCAATTGTTGTAAAATAAATGTAGTTAAAAAAAAAAGAGCTCTCATGGCCCCTTTGGATCAGACAGAACTACACTCACCTAATGCTTTAATTCACAAATAGAAAAATTGTGATGCAAATAGCACATGCATACGCATACATTACCACTGGCTCTTTTACTCAAGGGATTTCCATATGGTTGGTCTTGATTTCTTTACAATAACGGACAATTTCTCAGTGATGTATATATTACAACACTGCAAGTCAGAGTAAAACAAAACTGAATATAGTCTTTTCTCTAAAACTGAAAATCCAAAATCAGTCAGTGGATGACTAAGATATTTAGACATTTTGTCTAAAATGTAACATGGATTCGTAAACCGGTTACCCCAATAGAATAAACATAAAGTTTAAAAGATTTTGGTTTAAAACAGAGTGAGAAGATCGCTAAACTAGACTATAGAGATGAAAGTGAAAAATGGAAACGACTTTTCAAAAAAAAATGAAATAAAAGAAGGCTGTGAGAACTTTGGATGTAAATATATTTTTTTTTTTCATTAAAAGAGAGTTACTTTATATAAATATGATATGCCTCATCATTTTTGAACATTTTCCACTGTCAGTAAAACAGACATTTAACACAACCAGCAGAAACTGACCGAATAAAATACTCTAGGTATGTCAGTTTCGAGACTTAATCTAGTAAGACATTTAGTCTGAGATTTTGAATATCGTCTCTATATGCTGAAATGTGGTCTGATAGACAACATTTTAAAGCATATTTACTTCGGCCAAAAAAAGTTATTTCAGTTTTTAAATTTTATGAAATCTGCATCTTCCCCTATGATATACCAGTAAAGCCTGTTGTTCTTTCACATTTTTGCACCAAATAAGTAATTAACTAGGTTAACAAATTAAGATCTAACCCCATGCGACCTGACCATGTCATACATTTGTCTAAAATTTGCATAATGTGACATAAAGTAGGCCAAAATTACATAATTTTTTATAACATGCTCCAATTCTAGTTTGGTGTCAACATATATCAGACAACACTACACTCTCTTAAAGAATTCAAAATCACTTTACCTTCACTTTTATTTGCTATAAATTTGCTGTAATAAGGTAACAGAATTCCAATTAAAAAGGTCACCACTTTCAACGGAATTTTTTGGCCACAGGAAAAAATACACATACTTTATATGCATCCTCACAATCTTGGCTCAGTGATGTACAAACCTATTTTACCAATTTAAGTCCAAAACCAATTTGCATAGGCTATATATAGATTGTCCCTGCTTAATTCTCACCTTTGTCTGACACCAATAGCCTCGGATCATATATATAGCATAGTTCATTGTTTAAACAACAAAGCATGTTTTTACTAACCTTACACATACCATATACTTAATACACATATATAGAGGGTCATGATGTATTTCGACTGGGAAACAATGATAAGACCACTTATTGCCCGAGGCAAGGATGTGGTCCTTTTGTTGGTCATTTTTGTCCTGCGGTCAGCTCATAATCAGGAACCAAGCTGTTGATACAAGGTCTTCTGAATAATATTAATTTTGCTATAGCAACAATTAGCACGGTTATTATAATAATACTCTACCAGGAATCTCCAAAGGCCGGGGATTACAGGTAGCTACAGTATAAAATAATCAGGGTTTTCTCTTTATTCTGGGCTTAGGTATCTAGCAATAGAGCAGTGGATGTATTTGTAGTAATAAGCCCATCCCTTTCTATTGCTGCTCAAAAGAATCACCTTGGCCAGCCATTGCTTCTGTGTGCGATTACAGCTTTCCGTGTTAAGGTCAATGCACTACTGCAAGTGGAGCCCAAAAATTTCTCCATCCTGTCAGGATATCAATATATCGCCAGAAATATGAAAATTATTCTACTTGTTTTTGTGCGAATAAAAGATAGCATGTTGCAAATTGATTAAAAGATTACTAATGAATGTTTCGACGGCAAGTTTTCTCCCCTACTATGCATGCTTTACATCATTTCCTTTCTGAAAATATCTATTTTGTATCAAAGTCTTATGAATTTAGAAATGGTTTATAACCTTTAGCAATGTGAAAGTCCTCATAGACTGCCTGTTCGTGTACTTAACTTGGCCGTCATGCTAATAATCATATAAGATATACATTTATGTTTATACAAATTATAATTTATTATGAAAACCATCATATATTTATCATGCACATTCTAGCCCCATACATCTGATGACGAATTGTTACCATAATACTGACAACGTAGCGATATAGGAAAGAAAGACACATTTAATCAAACGTGTGCATCTAGTAAGGCAAGAATTATGATCGTGAAGCCAGGCACGTTATGTATGACCGAGAGGTCGGACATGTTGTGTACTGTGTGATCCTGCGGTTAGACATGTTTTGTTGACCCTGGAGTTGAATAAGTTGTGTATGATCAAGAATTGACATGTTGTGTATGAAACATGTTCAGACTTGTGTACAACCCAGAAGACGCCAATGCTGTTTATGCAAAAAGAGGTTGGACAATTGTGTATGACCAAAAGCATACTCGATACTCTGGTGGTTACGATCACTTTCACTCTATGCACCCCTGGAACATGTCATGGCAAAATTGAAGACACAAACTAATTTGATTGGTTCCGAGAGAAAAAAAAGACCAATCACAGGCTGTTATGCTCCTTTTGTAGATTACAAAGGAGGACAACAAACTTCAAAACCATTACAATATACTGTTATCCAAACTCGAACTCGAGATTCGTTTCATGAACATCAAAGGATCAAACTAGTCTTTCTGTCCTGTTCACAAGGTGTCAAACATGGAACCTTCAGAGAGTGAAATCCCTGGATTATCAAGGATTGACCCAGAGGTCAGATATGTTACATATGACTGACTCTGAGGGCTACAGTGACATATATTTCATGACATTAAGGATGACAATATTGTGTATCACTATGATTTGTGAAATACATTTGGTGTGCATGTACATGTTCCTACGTACTAACATACTGTGTATCATCCTGAGGTTTGATATGTAAGACCATGACCAGACAATTTTGTGTACGACCGAACAAATGAAGGACAGGTTTGACGGCAGACATTTTCACTGTGACATATTAAATCATTTCACTTGGTCTGGTAGAAGGGATCAAGCAACCAATTATATAAACTACTGAAAAATAGTTATTAACTTCTTTTAAAAAAGAAATGTGATGATCCAAATGTTTGTTGGGAAGAAGTGAAAAGTCTAATTTATTTCTTTGTTGGGAGTTTATTTACAAATACACTGATAAAAGAAAATGGTGTCCTTGACAGTAAGATATATGGTACCAAATGCAAAGTATTGTACATTAACTTAGCTTAAACGTCTTTTGCTTTTTAAAGGTTTACGTAAAATTGTGCCAAAAATATCTGTTGAACATGTACAGCAACACTCAAAATAGCGCAACTTCTCTCTTAAAAAAAATACCTCATCCATATTGCATAGGAAGTCACTTTCTTTGAGACTTTAAAGACTAAATACGTTTTGCACAACTGTCGTATTTTAGCTCACTGTGATGATAATGAAACTTCCGGTGGTAATTTCGGCGTATAAATGCAGTTCTATATATGTCACTAAAACGATAATTTAACGTCAATATTCACATTAATTATGCCGTTTACATAATTATATTTATAATTAGCATAATCGGTAGAAATTTTAATGTGAATATCAACAATAAATTATCACATTTTATAGAAAGAAAATTTTGGGCTCGATTTTTATGATATATAGGTCATTTTACAGGATCTCCGTCTGAATGGGTCAACCGTTCTAAATATATACTGTCACAACAAAATCGATTACACCAGACAGCTAACATTGATTACTATCCGAATCAAATGCACGCTACTGATCTTGCTACCAACAGACATTAAGCAATCATTCACATGTAGGTAAGAAATTTGCGTGCGTTGCTGCCGCTGAAATTGACACCGACCGAAAGGCCGCCGTCACCGCACTGAAACACGTGTTCGCACACCCAATGAATCGCACTGTAAACAATGAAACATGTTTCACATGAAATTAGACATACCCCTACAAAATGATGACTATCCTTATAACTGAACAAATAAGGCTTTTATAAGAACATTTTGGTATAATCGACTTACCGATCCGGCACCTTCCAGAACACCTTTGGGGGTCAGAAATATGCCACTTCCAACGATCGATCCGACGATGATCGCGACGCCATTGAACAGCGTGATTCGCCGCTTTAATTCTACTTTATCGTCATCTTTCTTCGTCAAACCAACGTCCTCTCCATTATGTTTACTTCTCGATTTAACATCATAATTGTCTTTCGTCATCTTCTCCGATGATGCAACGACCTAACTCAAGCCGAAATTGGATACTGCTCTTGTAAATATTGTGTTGGCATGTCACGTGACCGATGTGTTCATTCATCCAGGATCAAGGGCGCATTTCATTGGTTACTCGGCTCTTGTCACGCCCATTTTACTAGTCTGTACGCTTACAACGTGATTGCATCATTTTCACTAACTGGGACATATGAGCCAAAGAAATGAAAACAAATGCAGTAAGGATGTTATGTCTTGAACGACAATTACCTCCGCTCGCTCAAAGATTTGTTTTTCATAGAAGTAACGCGTTCGAAACAATACCGATGAACAGTTTTATGAGTAGTTTCGACATAAATTGGAATATATATTTAGCTTATGTTATTTAATAGCCGTGGGTATTGCATCATTCCCTTAACTCTCACATGTTTACATGTGTGGATGCTTGGAAACCATTGTTATTTTATTTATCTCATGATCTCGCAGTTCTCTTTTTTCCCTTCTACAGTTATTTTTTCATCACCAGTCCAATTCTCCTTTGAGCGGTCGCAAGCTTAGTTCCGTTTTTTGTTACAATAATTTTAACAAAAAAAGCATTAATATGTTTTTGATACAAATAACATTGTGTTTAAAGAATATCTCCGCAAACGTGATGTCTATGTCATTTTCGTCGTTGTGTAATTGGAACAATTCAGTCTCTAGGCTAATCATTCTAGCGATACATATGTCTCATTATGTACTAAGTTGATCATTTAATTTGATCGGGGTCTTAAACTGGGTTCTGTGCTGTTATTTCTAAGTATTTTTTTTAAATTGGGATACCATCGAATCCCAATCAAGGACCTACATAAAGCTGCTATTTAGGTATCTGAATCAATCAAGCATAAAATATCATTCGACTGTGACGTGACGCAGGGGAACGGTAACCACATTATAGCTTTCCAGATCTTATAAACTTCGAAATACTTTCATCATTAAAATCGACATTCTAATTTATAATTCCATCACGTAGAAATCATTGCCGAGGAAAATAAAATAAAAAAATGTATATAAGCTCGAAAGATCCTGCATTTCGACAAACAAGATGAAAAAAAACAACAACACAGGAGTGTAAAGATAAGACGTATCATCATAGAGAACAGCAGACGGCAGTGAAAAATTATCACAGTTATAGCAAATTGTCACAAATTAGGAGTTTTACAAAATAATGATAAACTACCGTCGCATGGACTCGGTGTGCTAAATATGAAGTTAAAGCATTATTTGAGAAAGTGTAATGTACATACTTGATAACGAATGGTAAAAATTGCCGGAACATACACTAATGAACAGTGTGTGTCAGTGAATCATTTTAAGATAGAAAGATCACGGAGATGGGGCGGATTTATATATATATATTTTTTTATATAAGCCCACGTTCACTTTCTTGTCGCTCAAAATATGATTAATCTGACACATTGATATAGTATAAAAACGACCCAACTGGAATGTATAATTTTGTTATTGTATAAATAATTTTTAAAGGTGGCAAATTCCATTTTACATGCTGGCGAAATGACGTCATTTTATTTCGGGACATAACAAACGAAAAATTTAATTTTATTGTCAGAATTTTCTGCGTTGTAATCAAATTTTTATGAAGACATTGTTATTGAGATTGTGAACATGTACTATTTTTTCGGTATTGCAATAGTGGATTTTAGACAAGAAGAAGGAGACGTGAAGAATGCAATGCAAAACATGTAGATAGTTTGGATGTGGAAAGTAATGACAGTAATGTAAATATACATAGATATATCATATGTAAGGATTACTATCTTGTTTACGTCCTATCAACAGACAGGGTCATTTAAAGGTCACCGGCAATGAAAATAAAAAATTCAATTTTCGTGAAAAAAAAATCGTCAGTTATTATGGATGTGCCAGACTTGGGTGGTGGAGGAAAGCCGAAAAAAACCTATTTGGCGACTGCCCCACGTAGGTCTCGAACCCGCGACCCAGAGAGCAAGCTAAATCGGTCAACGTGGCCCCAACCTAGCTAATAACGTGTGGAATTATTGTATCGAAAATCGGCTCCGGATTATTTATCAGAACAAGTCAGAGTAATGATAGAAATGATTACTTACTATGTTTTGGGTTCTACAGATTTGAAGTTCACATCAATTACAAGTTTCGCCTAAACAACAAAATCGTGACAAACTCAGAACAAATAGGAATGACAGCAACATAATTGGGACGATCGAAATGACGTAATCATTGAAATGGACAAACACACGTACCTGTAATATACTTATACTAAACTGTATAGGATATGAAATTTATTTCGTGTTAGTGTACAAAGAATATAAGGATTTTTAACACAGTCGTATAATATATGTACTTTTTTCTTTCTTTTTTTTTCAAAGCTTATCGTCAGATACATTGTGTTCATTTAGTTCACAGGCTTCTGGTTAGTATTATCGTGTCTAACAAGCCACTGTTCGGCTAAACATCATATTATTATTATTATTATTATTATTATTATCATTATTATAATTATATGTGTGGTGGTGGTGGTGGTGTGTGTGTGTGGTGTATGTGTGGTGGTGGTGTATGAGTGGTGGTGGTGTATGTGTGGTGGTGGTGTGTGTGTGGTGGTGGTGGTGTGTGTGTGGTGGTGTGTGTGTGTGGTGGTGGTGGTGGTGTGTGTGTGTGTGTGTGGTGTATGTGTGGTGGTTGTGTATGTGTGGTGGTGGTGTGTGTGTGTGGTGGTGGTGTGTGTATGTGTGTGTGTGGTGTGTGTGGTGTGTGTGGTGGTGTGTGTGTGGTGGTGGTGTGTGAGTGTGGTGGTGTGTGTGTGTGGGGTGGTGGTGTGTGAGTGTGGTGGTGTGTGTGTGTGGGTGGTGGTGGTGGTGGTGTGTGTGTGTGGTGTATGTGTGGTGGTGGTGTATGTGTGGTGGTGTGTGTGTGTGGTGGTGGTGTGTGTGTGTAGTGGTGGTGTGTGTGTGTGGTGGTGGTGTTGTGTATGTGTGGTGGTGGTGTGTGTGTGTAGTGGTGGAGTGTGTGTGTAGTGGTGGTCGTGTGTGAGTGTGGTGGTGGTGGTGGTGGTGTGTGTGTGTGTGTGTGTGTGTGTGTGTGTGTGTGTGTGTGTGTGTGTGTGTGTGTGTGTGTGTGTGTGTGTGTGTGTGTGTGGTGGTGGTGGTGTATGTGTGTGGTGGTGGTGTATGTGAGTGATTATAAGTAATTGCATGACTGTGTTTAAAGCAGAACATCAAAAACGAAATCTTTGATAAAGCGAACCGAAATAAATGTAAATATATAAAGACGGTAATTCTGGCTCAAGAAGGTTGGTTGACAACCCACCTTTGATTTCGACTATATAAAAATTCTAATCTGGTTTCTCGAAATTGCCTTATATGTTGGCGTCTATGGTGATGGTTGCGTAAGTCGCAATTTTACTGCACATGGTTGTTTCAAGACTAAACTTTGTAATGTGTAAGAAAGAAAGAATGACAACAATGATATTTCCACGATCAAATGTAGCTCTGCTTCAACTTCTACTAATGCTTGTCAGATTTACCCCCCTTCGATCAGTTAGGTGTATCGCGGCCCGGCTGATATCACGGCTGTTGTACTGTTGAAGGCGATAAGGACGGAAGATTGAGTTCCCTTGGTTTCAGGAATTCTTTGTTGTCGCCGATATAAAAAACCGCGTATGTAATTTATCTATTTTTTATTTCCCTACTCCCTCCCGATACCTTCTTTTGATTTTAATGACTGAATGTTTAAAAAGTTCCAATTAAAATATCGTTTTCAGCGACAACAATTTAACAATAGTGTATGACTGTCCAGTGAATTTTATATAATTACTCTCCATAGATTTTATTACGGGACAAATGATAGTTCTCCATTTTCGTAATTCCTGGTTTTCCCCTTTTTGAAATTCCGGGTTTTCTGATATCGGAATTCCGGGATTTTCCGATTTTGGAAACTCCGTGATTTTCCGATTTTGGAAATTCGATTTTTTCCCGATTTTGAAATGTTCCTCAGAATCTGTTAAGGAAGAGCAAAGTGATGAACAGAACTACTGTTACAAGTAAAAGTCAAAATAAAGTGCCGTCAGTTGAGACAAAATTTGTATACGAACCGTCAACTCGTCACTGTATACTGCAATAGATACGTTATCTATTTAAGATGTTTCATCTCATCACTGGTTTTTAATTGTCGTCATAGTTTTAATGAGATTTACAGGAATATGGCTTGATGTACGTTGGAAAATGTTTTCCCATTATGTTTACATGAATATATGTTTAAAATTTTTTTTTTTCTAAAAAAGAAATCCAATTTGTAATTTAAAATCATCTCAATAAATTTATAGCCTTTTAACAACCAGTTGGTACTTAAACCAATATATTATTATAACTAAGTGTAAGGGACCGACAGCTTGTCAGGTTGATAACGACAACAATTTGGCTATCACATTGTAATGTATTGTATTGTGTTTAAAATATCTTTTTTTTCTAAAAATGAAATCCAATTTGTAATTTAAAATCATCTCAATAAATTTATAGCCTTTTAACAACCAGTTGGTACTTAAACCAATATGTTATTATGACTAAGTGTAAGGGACCGACAGCTTGTCAGGTTGATTACGACAACAATTTGGCTATCACATTGTAATGTATTATATTGTGTATTGTATTTTATTGTGTATTTTATTGTGTATTGTACTGTGTATTGTATTGTGTATTGTATTGTGTATTGTGTTGTATTGTGTTGTATTGTGTATTATGTATTGTATTGTGTATTGTATTGTGTATTGTTTTGTATTGTGTATTGTATTGTGTATTGTATTGTATTGTGTATTATGTATTGTATTGTATTATATTGTATTGTGTATCGTATTGTGTATCGTATTGTGTATTGTATTGTGTATTGTATTGTGTATTGTATATTGTATTGTGTGTTGTATTGTGTATTGTTGTATATTGTATTGTGTGTTGTATTGTGTGTTGTATTGTGTGTTGTATGGTGTATTGTATTGTGTATTGTATTGTGTATTGTATTGTGTGTTGTATTGTGTATTGTTGTATATTGTATTGTGTATTGTATGGTGTATTGTGTTGTGTATTGTGTATTGTACTGTGTATTGTATTATGTATAGTGTGTTGTACTGTGTATTGTGTTGTATTGTGCATTGTTTTGTGCATTGTGTTGTGTATTGTATTGTGTATTGTATTATGTATAGTGTATGGTATTGTATTATGTATTGTATTGTGTATTGTATTATGTATTGTATTGTGTATTGTATTATGTATTATGTATTATGTATTGTGCATTGTTTTGTGTATTGTGTTGTGTATTGTGTTGTGTATTGTATTGTGTATTGTTGTATATTATATTGTGTATTGTGTTGTATTATGTGTTGTGTATTGTGTTGTGTATTGTATTGTGTATTGTATTGTGTATTATGTATTGTATTATATTGTATTGTGTATTGTTGTATATTATATTGTGTATTGTATTATGTATTATATTGTGTATTGTATTGTGTATAGTATTGTCTATTGTTGTATATTATATTGTGTTGTGTATTGTATTGTGTATTGTGTTGTATTATGTATTGTGTATTGTATTGTATTTATTGTTTACATATCATAATTGGACAGACAGCTTGTCAAGGGATTTGATAACGACAACAATTTGGTTATCACATTGTATTGTATTGTATTGTTCACTTTAAGCCTTACAGTTCATTAAGTTAAATACATAAGAATATAATGTACATATACAATATAAGGCTATCATAACACTTACATTGTACAAGACGAGAAGACAAAAGACAGAGTGACGGACAGTGTTGAATACACATAAAGTACAAAAGTATCACAACCATGATTTGAATAGTGCTAGGCAATATAATTCTAACAGGTGGTAATTGGCAGAAGATACATGATAATTAAACAACACACATAAGACTTGAAAGGTTGAACGTAATAATAAACTTGATTGTAAATATTTACCCAGATAAAAGAGTTCTTTTTTATTACTTACTGTTAATAATTGTACGAATTTGTAAGACGACGGTCGGTTCCAATAATACATTTTGATAAACTTTTGCGTAAATTTATATACAGATGACAAATCAAAATAAAATGGACATGTCTTTTACTAAGTGCTGGTTGTATTCATATAGCATTCACGTAAAATGCGCATATGGTATATTTTTACCGGTAACAAAATTATCCAATTATATACCAATTAGTGTTGTGTTACATAATTCAACCATGTGTAAAATCTAAACCTATTTGGTCTTCCATATTAATACCTATTTTTATCTGCTTTTGAGTATTGTTTGGGCTTAGTTAAACAGATAATGGAATTTGTCGCCAACCTCTATACATAAATTCACATTTTTTTACGTTAGGCACACAAGACAACCCCAAAATTTCATTTGATAAACTTAGTATTACGTGTTCTATGATTCGATAAGTTTTAGTTGGTTCGGAGAGAGTTCTTGTGAGTATTTGTCTAAACTAAATGCATGTTTCCAGATTCTATAAGTATACCACTCGGAGATGTATAAATGCCATTTCTGAAATTTGATATAAATTTACCCTACGGTTTATAAGATAAGTTACTCTCGAACCAACATATGTTTAAAAACTCTTTGTTGGTAAATGTTGGTTTCAATATACTTTTTACCTTTTGAGGCGTGATAGCTCATAATTTTATTAAATTGTTATCAGTAACACTAGGCCCAAATTCCGACCATTCATAATTCAGCATTTAAAATCGATATCTAGCAGAAATCTTTCATATTCTCAATATCTCAAGTTGTGACATTAATCAGTGTTTGCAACATTTTAGATGTAAACGTTCGATATGTTGTTAGCGATAGAAAACCCCACACATCCATTGTTTTTTATACAGTCTGTTTGCCTATTGTCAACTTTAACAATGCCCCTAACCATTACGTCGTAAGAGGTAGGACTTTCATATCTGGCATGTGTATTACTTGTGACAATACTTTTCAGGTGGCACTAAATTTTTTGATTATATGGCCTTGACCTTTGACCTACATATGAAAAAAAAAACATTGATTATTTTTTGCTTTTACTTTTTACTTTTGCATCATAAGACGTATGGCTTTCATATTTGGCATGTGTTTTCCTAGTGACAAGACCTTTAAAGTGGTACCAAATTTTTTTACCATGTGACCTTGACCATGACCTATGACCTACATTGATTATAACTATTGTGTCATAAGACGTATGACTTTCATATTTGGCATGTTTGTTCACTGTGACAATTCCTTCCAGTGGTACCAATTTTTTCACCATGTTATGACCTTGACCGTGACCTTTGACATACATTTAAAAATTTAAAAAAAAATCGATTATAACTTTTGTATCATAGTAGGACCTAGTTTTTCAAAAACACATCTTGTGTTGTTTTTTTTTTTTTTTTTTATCTTGGGAGCAATGCAGGGGTTTTAAAAAATCGTACAAATTTGTGTACGAGCCTATTTGGATGGACTCGCATAGAAGTCTAGACATGTATACATACTGTAAGTATTATAATTCTTAGGAAGGTTGTTTAAAGTAAATAAGAATACTGTTTACTTTACCTTTTTATCCTTCCTTAATCCCTTTTCAAATAGGAATGCCGATGCGTCTACCCTTTCGCACTAGTAAAATAAGATCAAGGTTGATTGCGACATAAATTTTGCCAGAATATTAAGGGCAACGCAAAAAAAAAATTTGCCTTTATCGATAAAATTTAAGAGAAGGAATGCTAACCGAAAATTGTCACATTTTCTGTATGGGCACTTTTAAATATTCACTTAAAAAGTATTTTCTCTCATCATCATTTATGAAATATGTCTTTACTTGAAAAAGTTAATTTGTAAGAATTTTTTTTTTCGCCACAGAGCCTGAAAGACTGGACATGTATGTATCTTAAGGATATCTTATCATCCAGGCTCAGATGTGGGTTAATTATTCGGGAAACTTCATAAAAATCACATATTCTGATACTTTGGTGATGCACTATTTTCTTTTTTTTAATTACGAATATCATAAATCCACGGTTCAGCGCTGAATTCAGTTTCAAACGTGTATATGTTGTCAATCTCAACAGAAATGTCTTCGAAATTACTTACGATATGTCTTTATGAACAGAAGTCTTTCAGTTTTCGTAAAAACACAGAAAATAAATCATTCAGTACCCCCGTTGGTACCCCCACAGAATATTGTGACAATTCGATTGGTTGTTAAATTTAGACTAAACACAAACGGAAGCACGGTGATCATTCCCGCGTTGTAGCTAAGTACACACAACGTGACACAGATATCTACACACAGTCTGTATTTGGGAGCGATGAACATGGTCAGCATTTGAGTATAGTTTACAGCCGACTGGACGTTTGACCACATTGAGCTTCATTTAAAACTTCCTACAATTTCCCCAGTGAACTATAAGTGAAATTTTCTTAACAGTGACGTGTAAATTGAGAACAAAAAAAAAACCTTCACGAAACGACATAACACGTGTTACGGGGATTTTTTCGTGTTTTTTTCAAACAGACACCGGAAAAAGATGGGGAAAGAAGAAACAGCATCGGCTTCTTCATCTGATGTTTCTGATACAGTGAAACTAAAGAAAGAACTTGGACTTCACAATGGGGTAGCTTTAATTGTCGGAGTTATAATTGGAGGGGGGATTTTTATATCCCCTAAAGGGGTGCTTCAGGAGGCTGGATCAGTCGGACTCTCTCTTATCATATGGGTGCTGTGTGGACTTATATCTTTGATTGGGGCAATGTGTTATGCCGAACTGGGTACGATGATTCTAAAATCAGGCGCCGACTATGCATACATACGAACAGCTTTTGGTAATTTACCTGCTTTTTTATACCTCTGGGTGGCGATAATCATTATCTTACCCACAGGGAACGCCATAACGGCTTTGACTTTTGCTGAATATATACTGGAGCCCTTGTTTCCGTGCGAATCGCCAGCATATGCAGTTCAGTTGCTAGCAGCTCTATGTATCCGTAAGTAGATATTTCTTAAATCACTCACTTTTTATCTAACAACATGAATGAAATTATCTTTGTTTACTTACGTAGTTTTTCAGTCGCTTACTCATCAAGCGTAAACGTTTACGTTAGTGATGATAACAAATCCGTTTCAATCATCACGTGGGCCGGTACCGGCAGGCCCATATTTTGATGATGCAAGATTTCGTCATTCTCCAGACCAGGCAGTGTTCAAATGTTTACAACCGTGTAACCGTATGCGGCGGTAAAGATTCCCTTAAAGACACCAAAATGATTAAAATTGTATGTTAATAATGATATTTTAAGTCATGAAATATTGATTAAATCTTTATATATATATATATAGTAGTGTATAGACTAACGATAGTTGTTTGATACAGGAAACGTCACTCTTGACTGAGCTCTGTATACATGATTGATTAATTTATGGTATGATAGTTTAATTTACAGATACATCATTGGTCCAAAGTTGACTTTAAACAAATTTTAATGAATGGATATCGCTCAGTTCCTATCCCATTAGACAATTAAAGAAGAACATGATTTTAGTTAACAACTGAAGGTGTTGTTTGGTCTGTGTCTAAAATGACATGGTCACGGTTGAGTGAATAACGCTGTGTGATCAATTCCATTTGACCCAACCTTGATTCGTGTTTTACAATGTGGCATTATGTTGCCTATCCTACTGATATGGATACCTGACATGGGCCTAGTGCTTTTATTTTGTGTTTGTTTGACAGTAGAAATATTTCTCCTGTCTAAGAAAGATTAAACTTGATATTTTGTGACATTTTGAAGATTTTTTCTCACCAAAATTATACCCATCTGTCATACACCCACCAATTAGTTTAAAATTTTGATAAATGAATCGTTATAACTTACTGACAACAGTAATCACGAAAATGCCTGAAGACATCATCTACGTTTATTCCATATCTAGATTACAATTACAACCTCCTATTTCAGACAGAAGTGCTAGAAGTTCAACATGTCCACTCAGAGGATGAAATTTATCCTCGCAGACTTTTGAGTCATATATCTATTTATGAATATAGCTATTAAGTGTATATGCCAATTTCTCATTTTGTTGTTAAAAATATCAAGAAAACTTTTTAAGAAAAAATGTATGTTCTATTCAAAACAATAACCTACCTACATGCAGCCATGTTAGAGACAGTTATTATACAGCATTTAATCCAATATATCTCAAAATGTTAATTATCAATTTAAATGATCACATGAAAAACATCAGGATAACCGGCATGTATAGAGAAGGTCATCGAAATATTAACATTACCATTTGTGAATTATTACAGACAAAAACAATAAACATTCCCCGATTTTTAATGCTTTGTACTTCAGGGGACAAATTTTATCAAAATATCCCTCAGAAGATTCCCACTGTTTAGGCAAAACTGGTAGACTTGTCTTTATTTATAAAAAATCTACTAATCCCGCACCTATTGTGATTAATTTATACTTTGTATTTGATCAAGTATTGCCTGTGTTTAATGTTTTAAAATACTTCTATAATTTGCCTCTATTGCCTGTCCACTCCTTTACGGTGACGATTTTACTGTAATATATTTTATTTTTTATTTTATTCTTAAAAGAACCTTATTTGTCTGCTTTGATTTTAATACTTTCTATAGAAAGGTTAACAAAGTTCATAAAATCTTTGATTATGATGTGAATGTCCATGTAATCCCAATTTATCAAATTCATAGGAAACTCCCATCAACAAGTTAGACTAACCTAACACACAAAATATTTGAAAACACGGAAAAAAAAATTCGTTAAATTTTTAATTTGAACAAGTTATTTTTAATTGATTTATTTTATAATGCACTTAAATATCTACATTCAGTTTATGAATATGTTTGACATGTTGTGTTTAAATTGTTAGGCCAATATAACATAACATCTGTGAAAGTTTTGTGCCAGTGTCATCAAACGTTTTCTAGAAATATATCGATTCACATAAAACTCACCTGTATGAAAGCGATTATCAAAAAATTGATCTTTGACTACGTGAGTTAAAAGAGAGATACCTCCCGGTCACCAAGGCATATTACACTCTAGAATTTTTTTTTACTGCAAATACATGTGAGAAAATTTTATTGATAGAACAGTTAGCGAAAATTTCGACTGGATGACTGATTCGGACTTCACCTGAACCGTAACTGAATAACCAGCCTTTGGTGTTGAATGTTGATATAAAAAAAATATTCTACTATACATTCATGCATATGCTGTTCAATAATACTTGTATGAACAAGACACCAAGACAGAAATTGCCGCTAGTAAATCAATTTCATTCAGCTTTATCATGTACTTCCAGAAAATTCCAACGTTAACAGAGAAATATGTCAAGAAGTTCTATACACCTACCAACCAATCATCTATTTTTCATAGAGTTCTAATACACATTAGTCATCGGTTTTGTGCATTTACAATTTCTAGTACAAAGTCTCGCTTGCTCATATACTTTGGCAGACAGAGTAACTAAGATGTGAAACATGAGTTTGTGTGATGTCCTCTTTTTCTATTTTGAAAATATCAACATTAACTTAATAATGTTTATGAAAAAGTAGATTGTGCCGCAAAAGTAGCTTTATCGTTACCACCTGTTGTTTTTAAACTTCATTTTACTGGTTTTAAACCATTCATAAAAACAATTTTTAACAGCTCAGTGGCAGGAGGAACGGAATCAATATACCAATAATAAATTGCACTCCTTATAACCTATCATAGGTGAATGGTCTGCATGCTATAGAGACAAGCACCGAGACGAAGTTGTCCTTGCCCGTCCTTGGATGGGCCATACATAACTTTTTCATATATGTTGAAAGGCAAAGATAATTCCTGATGCATAGGATGTGATGAGCCATTCACCGTTAAACACTTTTTATTGGACTGCATTGACCTTCTGTCAACTTCAGAAATTTTTTATCGTAAATTTACAAGTCTTCAGACCCTTTTTGAAACTGTTGAGGTTTATAAAATTCTAGGTTATCTGAAAGATGCTGGTCTATATTATAGACTATGACAACAGACTGGACTTTGATATTTTGCACTAGAAATTACATTATAAATCTATGCAACCCAGAAACTTTTTATTCACAACTAAATAGCACTTGTAAGGAAAATATTACTGATTTAAACATATCCCTTACATCATTATACGTGATTCATGATATGCATGATTTTATTTCGATTTAAATACTTACAAGAAATAGGGGAAATGTTGGGCAGATCGGGAGACGTAAAAACTGAAATCCAAATTCATCATTGGAGACCATTATTATGTGAGAGAATATGCGATAAGTTGGTATTACACAAACTGCATTTTCGTCATGCATATACTTTAGATGTACAACATTAGACATACATTATAAAAAATGTAGTTGTCATTCTGTCGTTTTATGTTATCGATATTCCATATGCAGAGATCAATTTTCCGAATTCTCAAATGTCCTTCCAACTATCATATATATTTACCTATTGACACTTGAGATTTCTACAAAGAGAAATTTGATCAAACTTCAAGCTTTTTGACAAAGGTAAAATTATTTTAATCTAGTCTAGTTTTCATTTTAAAAGTTTAAAAATGGTTTTTAATGTAAATTTTGTCAAAGATCTATAAACAGACTTTAGAACTTTGTGTCCCAGGATAGAAAATTATTGTCATACCTTATCAAATATTCATTGTGGATGGAAATTGTTCACATAAATAGATTTATTCAATATATTACATTACATAACGATAGGTTGACTTATCAACATGTTGCAATAGCTTTGCCCATCAATATCAATATGTAACAGAATAGCATATTTTCGATACCTATAGCAATAATTTGTTTGACTATATATTGTTTATGATAGATTTTTTACGAAACAAAAATGCTGTTTCAAATCTGTATACAAAGAACGTACATGTGAATTTAGATACCTCGCGATCACAACAAGTCTTTATCAAGAAATCGATTTCCTTACAGATATATTACTACTTACGTTTTACATTAAAGGTATAATGCTGTTTTATTTTGCAAATGTTCAGGGTTTTCCATAAGTTTGTTAGTAGTAGGCTGTGTAGCGAAAGTAGGAGGCTTGCCTGCCGTGTACGTGTAGTCGTGTACGGAACATTATTACGGAACTGGATTGGTGTAGGCGGCCAAATGATCAAAATAGCCGGTCAAATTGGCTGGCGGCCGGCTCTTATGGAAAACCCAGAATGTTATTATAAATTTTATTTGTATAATTGCTTGCGATGAAAAGTCATCAAAGTAAGACTTCGAGTGTTACTTTTCTGATGCCAGAGGCATCAATATCGTGAACACTTGGCTTGAAAGTATACGACCAGATTACATAGTGAACACCTCAGCATCCATCATTTACAAAATATCTTTGAGATTTTATGGTCCAGCAACTCTCAAATTTGGGATGTTGAAAAGCTGACTATAAAAGTTCGTATGTAATTCGCTTACTTATCACATATAGGTATTGTTCACCATCAAACCTGGAATGCGTACATAATTGTACGGATATTTGAGTCAGCTGTGAAATAGATTTGAGGTATTTTATTTTTTTGCGTATTATTTTTGGACAATCTTTATGGCCAGTTCTATTCACTTGAGACCTAGTTTACGGTCATATAGGAAGAATTTGTGAAATACCAGAAAATATCTAGTTACCATTTTTATTACTGCTCAGGAGGGGTGATACTGCTGTGGAGGGGTGTTACTGCCCTGGAGGGGTGATACTGCTCTGGAGGGGTGATATTGCACTGGAGGGGTGACACTGCTCTGGAGGGGTGATATTCCACTGGAGGGGTGATACTGCCTTGGAGGGGTGATATTGCACTGGAGGGGTGATACTGCCCTGGAGGGGTGACACTGCTCTGGAGGGGTGATATTGCACTGGAGGGGTGACACTGCTCTGGAGGGGTGATATTGCACTGGAGGGGTGATACTGCCTTGGAGGGGTGATATTGCACTGGAGGGGTGACACTGCCCTGGAGGGGTGACACTGCTCTGGAGGGGTGACACTGCACTGGAGGGGTGATATTCCACTGGAGGGGTGATACTGCACTGGAGGGGTGATACTGCACTGGAGGGGTGATATTGCACTGGAGGGGTGATACTGCACTGGAGGGGTGATACTGCACTGGAGGGGTGATATTGCACTGGAGGGGTGATATTGCTCTGGAGGGGTGACACTTCTCTGGAGGTATATTGTTACCCGATACCACATAACTAGATATGGTTGACTGTATTGTTACCCGATTCCACATAACTAGATATGGTTGACTGTATTTTTGCCTGTAATACTTGAAAAAAAGTCTTAATTTTTATGTTACCCTTTCAGTGCTTCTGACATTCATCAATTGTGTGAATGTGAAATGGGCAGCTCGAGTTCAAGACATCTTTACCGTCACAAAAATAGCAGCTCTCATAATCATTATCATCACAGGAATGGTCTATCTCGTTACAGGTGAGTTATACACAGACTCAGCTGGCTTGGTTCTCTAGCTGTTCGATAAAGAATTGCATGTCATGATCATCAAACAGATTTTTTGATGAACACAATTGATTTTGAAATCTCATTGTTCATGATGATGGTTTTTTTTTTATATTGAAATGCTGTATAGCTGTAGGAGGCCTTTTTATTTTAATATATTTAAGAGTTTTTTTTTTTTTTCAAATTTGTCTGTACTTTCACTGGAGACAAAATGACCAGTTAAACATTTGATATGAACAGTATAATAGATGTATTTGTGATATAACAATTGAGATATTAAAATTATATCATTACAAGTTGCTATACACATATTTCAATTGCTATGAAATATTTCTATTTGCATGAACAGGGGATAGAGAGTCATTTGACAAGTCGTTCGAGAACCACACCTCTGAACCACAGAGTGTGGGCCGCGTAGCCCTGGCATTTTATTCCGGCCTGTTCTCATACTCGGGCTGGTAAATGAATTTTTGTTGTTGCAAAATTAACCGAATGGTCGTGGCAATAGCACAAACAAAACTTTCCTTCACTCTTTGACACCCTAACCATCATTTCCTTAATTAAGCTTCATTAAAAATCATAGAAATATATTCGGAAAGTCAATTAATTGATTAGAATATTTAAAGGTGTATATATAGATGTATTAAGCTAATATCTAATTTAATAAGCATGTTATTTATTATTCGGGGAAAATGTTTTTTTACGATTTTTTTTTTTTTCTGCATTAAGAAAAATGATGAAATATCACTGTTCCATTATCTGTCAATCATGTAATGTTCAGAAGCACAGATGTGTTATTTTTAGAACAAATTATGGTTTGTCATATCTATCAACATCAGGCAATAATGCATGATGGGAATAAAAAAAATATATATACGGAATTCATGTTATAATATATATCAATCATGAATTCTTTTTGTGTTACTGTGATTCTTTAAATTTGACATGTTAAATGTCAGATGTGCACCTAATTTTAGTGTAGGTACAGATATTTCTAAAATACTGAAAACAAATTAATCTTAAAATATCGCTTTTTAAAATTTCTTCCAGGTCTTTGACCTGAAATAGTTTCATTGTCTTTATATTTTTTTTAAAAATCTTTTGTTTTTATGGTTCTTTCATCAGGTTAGCAGGCTAGTAAAATCGCCCTATGTCCATGGTCTATTGTCATCTGTCTATAAATACATGGTATCTATGTTTCTTAAGAAGTACTGGACATATCTTTCTTTCTCAAATTTAATATGTGTTTAATGGATATTTCATATATATAGCTTTCTCTTGGTCCTTAGTTGTGCCTGTTTGATTTTGGGACTTATCAGAAAAACAAAATGGCTGACAGGCGGCCATCTTGGATTTGGACAATGAAAGATCGATAATGGGTATTTCTAAAGAAGCATTTGATGGATCATACTCAAATTTCATATGTAGGTTTCCTTTGGTCTCTATTTGTGCTCTTTTTGATTTTATGACGGATCAGAAAATGTTACATATGCATGCTACACTATATATTTCTGTCTATCTAAAAGGAACCAAAGTTTTAATATTTTAATATTGAACAAAACCTTACAATACTAATTATAATATGGTATAACACAATGGATTTTTTTACAGGTGACAGAGAAAGTTATGAAGAACCATTTAAGGGCTCTACCTCTGATCCAGGGAACTTTGCATTAGCTTTCTACTCTGGGCTTTTCTCATATGCTGGATGGTAATTCACACATTAACACTAACTTTTAGTATTTAAACTCAAATCTGTAACTACTAATTGAAGTCCTGGTGACTTTGATGTTGTTTACTCCCTTTCTTTTAAAATCAGAATATCAGAATGAAGTTGTACTATCAGGTAGGAAATTTTAAAACTTTACAAAATTCATAAATTTTCTTTACTTAACAATGTAAACTGTTTGAAAGATTCTCTTTATCAGTGGATTCCATGCATAGGGGAGGTAAACTTTACACATGTGTAATTGGTGTTATAATTTATCAACTTTGATAACCTGGTAATATATAATACAGGAAATGACCATAAAATTCAGTCTTGTTCATAATGACAAGTGTTTCAATATTTACAAAATGTGTTTTAAATTGTTCTATGATTATGTTTCATAGCACCCTGATTTTATTTTAAAATATGCATTTTGCACACACTGGGAATTTTACCATTGGTATTACTGCTAGAAGAGAAAGTAACAAAAATTATTGTATGACATGGAAATATCAAAAGTATGAAATCATTATTAATATTTAAAAATTTAATGAGCTGGGCATATTAAAGTCTACCTGTTCTAAGTAGGGAATGATTTTAGACAAAATATCAATACCGGAAAAGGGTGGTGTTACCCAAGTGGTATGTTTTCCCCTCTAAATATGGACAAATTTCCGCATCAAGATAATATACTGAAAACTGGGAACATAGCTGATAAGTATCTTTTTACTTAAACAATTTTTTGCTCACCTGGCCCGTAAGGCCGGGTGAACTTATGACGTGTGCGGTGTCCAGCATCAACTTTTCTTAAAACAACTTTTTCTCAATAACCAATGCACCAAATGTTTTGATATTTGGCTGGTATGTTCATAGGATGAAGCCCAATAAAGTTTACGAAAATAAATTACCTTGACAGTAAATGACTTACATTCGATGTCAATAGAGTCAAATTTGTTAAAACCTTTAAATGGCTTATTCTTAGAATTAAAAGATCTAAAGGCGTGGTATTTGGTTGGTATGTTCCTTGGATGAAGTTTGACAGAATTTGCATAAAGAAATAAACTTAACCTACATTCAAGGTCACTGGGGTCAAATATGTTAAAACCTTTAAACAGCTTCTTTGAACTACAAGACCAAGAGGCATGATATTTAGTTGGTATATAGATATATACACACCAGGTGACTGCATGTGTGCCATTTATTTTTGTCCTGTCTTGTTTTTGAATTTTGAAGACCACAAGGGCTGTCCAAAATTTCTCCCTCTTTCAAAATGGGTCAAAAATTCACCTTTTCCACTAGATTAACTTAAACTAAGTATGTTTCACAGCCAAAAGGATCAGAGTTGTTGACCAGCCGTGGGACAATACATTTAGGTATTGCTCGCTGTGATGGAAAATTCTGTTGATAATTTGTTATGATAAAGCTTAGCTGCAGTCCCAAATAATGGTAACATGATGATTTGATGGTCACACGTTAAGACCACATCGGTATCATTTTCACCCCAGTCTTTGTCAGTATGATGTATGGATGTTGGTCAGGTCTTCTCTGCTGCTCTCCTTGAGTTTGTTTTGTTAACATTAAGTCAATTTTCACATAGTTATACGGTTAACTAGATATACTAGTTGTAGTTTGATAGGGTAGGTGTCCTGTTGACATGCAATGATGATGTAGATTTCTTTTTAATCATGTGTAAACAAACTAAAAATTTTAAAAGGGTAGATCACAATTTTGACCTAGTTGTCTTACTTGGATAGAATTTTTGTTTGTTTTACGGTCCATTAATTTTGTTTTTGTTTTTACGGTCCATCGAGAATACACATAGTTTTACCCTACTTTTTATGATCCCTGAAAATTTTTAGGAAGAGAATGTAGTTGCCGTCTTGTTAAAGATGCTTTGCAACTGACTATCTCCGTTAGGTTTAATGCAGGCACATGTTACAGAACCTTACTCGAAAATATGTCAGTTCTTGCATTGACCTGATGAGTACAGATGCAATACGTATGAGTTGAACTGATACTTAACTGAATAGAATGGTGGATTAAGACCGCCATGTGTGTTTATGTTAGACATACCTTTACACTTATGGTTATAAGCTTTCAGAAGGAATGTATAACGTATGTATTATGGCGAAGTTTCCGCCATTAAAAGCCAAATAAAATTGAATTCTGCAGGTGTTGGCAGAAACAATAATTTACTTAAACGTTAGAACCCTTGTATCTCCGTAGGCTCTTCGGCAATCTCTACTGGGCATGGACCTTGTATCTGACTAGAAAGGGCGCACTTTTCAATCAAATAAAAATTGTAGCTTTGACATTGTAGTCGACACTGAATCGTCCATCTTTAAAATCTGAATTGGTTGAAAAACATGGTTGCCTGGCAGGTTGTCAAGTAGAGGAATGTCTGCCGTAATGTTAAACAGAGAGGACTAGTGTCGAGCTAAAATCATTTACACCCATTGAGTTATCTGTTTCTATGCCATGAACACATAGATGTTTTACCTGATCTAGCATAATTGGTGCCTTAATCAGTCGTTTCGAATCACTGCTCCACTCTGTATGTTACCCAATATTTTAAGTTGGTCAAAACAAAACTTTGATTTCCCAATATCATTGTTTCCATGCAAAATATCGTCAATGCATAAATAAATGCACAACAGGGTTTTTAGAGAAGGTTTATGGTCAATGTTAGTATGCCTGGTGGTTCAGTTGTTTTACACCCAGTTCTCTTTTGAGAACATGACATTAATTATTTGCATGTTCTCATGTTTTCAGTATATTTTCTTGAGGAGGAATTATATTTATATTACGAGGGAAAAATCACACAACTTTGGAAAAACCACATTTTTTCGATAATAAAATTTGTCTAGATTAGTCTCGGGTTTACAGTTGTAAGGTAAAAATTTCGATTTATTTGGCAAGCACTAGTATTTAAGTATTCCTTAGTTAGACTGGCTTGTTTTAAGCTGTATCACGGATCAGAGGAAATATTATTATACCTTGTTTAGATCTACACTAACATCGTTCTTTCTGCTAATACTTGGGTTCAAAGTCTGATTATCTAATAAGACGGCCCAAAATTTAAAATATTTAAACCAACTTCAGCGTAGAAGACATTTGACAGTGTTATGTTAGCTGGTGAAGTAGATATTGTTGTAAATTTTTTCACTGTTGCATTAAACAGATAAAGCCATATTTTTACTTGGTCTTAAAAATTTACAAATTGTTCTTTCCTTCATCTAGAGAATGGATTATACGTTAATGCAAGCCAGGGGCAGTAGTTTGTTTTCTTAGTTAACCTCATTTTTCTTACATGTATTGTACACGTACCTGTATTTATGTGTATTAAATTTCCTGTCTTGTTTACATAATGGTAGTGACCAACAAATTAATTATTCGTTGCACAAAAACATTCAGATAAATAGTATCAGTTACCTAGTATCTAACACCACTAGGGTCAGGAAACAATCATATCATGTGTTAGCCCTTGATAAAAACACCACCAACATCGGCCTGAGGCTTTGTTGAATAAGACTTCCTCACTGAAATAAACAGTTTACATTAAAAATTATTCATCTGTATATAAATAAAAAAAAATCCTTATTTATTGTTGTTTACAAGTTACAACAATCAACACATGCTCTATAAATATTGTTTACTTGCCGAATAAATTACATTTTCATACATGTATTACAGGTTCATGTTGTGGAACATTTAAAATTCATACTAATCTAAACACTTTGTTAAATTTTTCCTTATAATTTTCCAGTTATGTTTTTTATTGATATATGGTATGGTGACAGATTAATGACTAGATAAACTCTGTGTTTATGATTAAGGAACAAAGGTACATGGTTTAGGTCTCTGTGATAGAAGGACTGAAACTTGTTTTCTTTTGCGGTTTCAAATTTTTTTCTTTATTTCCAAACAAATGATTTGGAAGAATGCCAAGGTTGGGACTCTGGACTACCATATTTTCCAGATTATAAGCCGCACCTTTTTTCCTTGTGAGTCTGGCGTACGGCTTATATACCGGTGCGGCTTATATACCGGTGCAACTTATATGTGGAAAGAAAATTGAAAGGATTTTTTTTTTTAAAAAAAGGAAGCGTACCAGTAGACCAGTACAAGGTGGTGCTGAGTTTTTTAACGAGTACCTGCCTGTAACATGTTTGTGACTGAAACAGATCATCTAGAACCATCATTTGCAATCTGATACAGGATGATTTGAAGATTGAAATAAACAAAACATTCTCGTGGATTTAAATAATTATAACTTTAAATATGAATGACAATAATATCTTCCTGATTTTGCCATCACTTCAAAGCCATCGAGGAAGTTTACAATAGCCGTTTACTTCCTTGGATCGATAGGTCATTGGGTTATAGGTCAAATTCTAGAACGACCACCATGCTTGAATGGTTTCATTTAACTTACAAGTAAAGCTAATATGGGACTATAAGAATATGGTCAGCATGCAAGGGCCTTCATTAATATTTAACAGTAAAGACAACAATAAAGAGATTGTTTAGTAAACGGATGTATTGTCAGGCCCTATATTTGTGTGTGGACATTCTATGAAGGTACCCAAGCCAAACAAGTTTGATATTTGCTATTTTGTGTTTTTTGAAATCAATAAAATAAAGAATTATCTGTGTATAATTCATTTTTATCAAATGTTTCACTGACGATCTTGATAACTTGCCATTTGGTTTTATAATGGCTTATAACCCAGAAAAATACAATATCCCCTGTACATCTTGGAACCTCTTGCTGGAGGTCTCTATCACTCCTGATTTTTTTTTCATCACATTTACTCATTCATTCATTCATTCATTCATTCATTCATTCATTCATTCATTCATTCATTTCAACAAATTCACACAGTAGGAGTAAGTGATCAGAAAAGTTGAATAGAGGTTAGATTTACACACATACATGCACACCTACATACTACTAATGTTATCATTACAGTCTTATAAGGAGAACATGTGCATATGCATGTGTGTAAAACTGAAACGCATTACAATAAATACATAGGTATATTTTGTAAGTATATAATTATAACTAAATTGGAAATTATTTGCATTTTTGAAATCAATAGCTGGTCTTAATTGTCAAAGTGCATCATCTACGTGTTACTTGATATCTAGATGTGGATCCGAGACATAGGGAAGCATGGACTACTGTATGCAGGGCAAATATTTCATCTTGCCTAAAACTGAATATTTATGCATAGTGTTAAATTTATTCTTAAATACTTAGATAAACAGCTTTGACGTCTATATATAGCCTCTATTGTATAATGTTTAAACTATGACAAAAGTTTTCCAATCATTGAAGAAAACTGGGTTGAAGGAGGGATTTCCTGACTGATTTTAAGATACAGAACTACAGTGTACTAAATCTGTAAATTAGAAAATCTCAATCTTAGAACAGATAAATCAATATTTATGACAGTAGAAAATTTTATGCTTTTGTTTCTTAGAAACCCTTTTCTTGATTATATTGTGTTTTAGATGTGTGAAGAAATGACTGGCTTTGAGAGTGATTTGAATATATTGTAATTGTCTGTTGTTTCCTCGATGTGCGTACATGACTAATTGCCTTGTTATCTGACCATAAAATTTCATCTATTTTTTTTATATATATATTTTCCCCCTATCTGTTTGGGTTCAGAAAAGGCCTTTTTCCATTCCTTGTTACTTATGTATTACCATTTGTCATCAGTTAAGGACCATAGGATCTTCCTCTTTTTAGGTCCTCTAACAAAGGACCTTAGGATCATCCTCTTTTAAGGTCCTCTAACAAAGGACCTTAGGATCATCCTCGGTTGAGGTCCTCTAACAAAGGACCTTAGGATCTTCCTCTTTTAGGTCCTCTAACAAAGGACCTTAGGATCTTCCTCGGTTGAGGTCCTCTAACAAAGGACCTTAGGATCATCCTCTTTTAAGGTCCACTAACAAAGGACCTTAGGATCATCCTCGGTTGAGGTCCTCTAACGAAGGACCTTAGGATCTTCCTCTTTTAGGTCCTCTAACAAAGGACCTTAGGATCTTCCTCGGTTGAGGTCCTCTAACAAAGGACCTTAGGATCATCCTCGGTTGAGGTCCTCTAACAAAGGACCTTAGGATCATCCTCGGTTGAGGTCCTCTAACAAAGGACCTTAGGATCTTCCTCTTTTAAGGTCCTCTAACAAAGGACCTTAGGATCATCCTCGGTTGAGGTCCTCTAACAAAGGACCTTAGGATCTTCCTCTTTTAGGTCCTCTAACAAAGGACCTTAGGATCATCTTCGGTTGAGGTCCTCTAACAAAGGACCTTAGGATCTTCCTCTTTTTAGGTCCTCTAACAAAGGACCTTAGGATCTTACTCTTTTTAGGTCCTCTAACAAAGGACCTTAGGATCTTCCTCTTTTAGGTCCTCTAACAAAGGACCTTAGGATCATCCTCGGTTGAGGTCCTCTAACAAAGGACCTTAGGATCTTACTCTTTTTAGGTCCTCTAACAAAGGACCTTAGGATCTTCCCCTTTTTAGGTCCTCTAACAAAGGACCTTAGGATCTTCCTCTTTTAGGTCCTCTAACAAAGGACCTTAGGATCTTCCTCTTTTTAGGTCCTCTAACAAAGGACCTTAGGATCTTCCTCGGTTGAGGTCCTCTAACAAAGGACCTTAGGATCTTCCCCTTTTTAGGTCCTCTAACAAAGGACCTTAGGATCATCCTCCTTTAAGGTCCTCTAACAAAGGACCTTGGGATCATCCTCGGTTGAGGTCCTCTAACAAAGGACCTTAGGATCTTCCTCTTTTAGGTCCTCTAACAAAGGACCTTAGGATCTTCCTCTTTTAGGTCCTCTAACAAAGGACCTTAGGATCTTCTTCTTTTTAGGTCCTCTTATAGGATCTTCCTCCTCTCAGATCATCCAAAGCTAAGAGTTAAAGAATCTTCCTCCTTTGAGATCCTTTAAGTTAAGGAATTTAGGATCATATTTTACCCAGTTTTACTCTTTCTGAAACTATGCGAAACGTGATGTTGATGAGAGTCCAATAAAGATAGCTCTGTAGAAGCTTAACCCCGACAGATGTGGAAATGCCTTGTCATTATGAACCACTTTTTCAATATATTCATCTCCATTATGTACTGTTCTCTATCCTCACCTAGTAAAACTGGTAACATGTGTTTCATGACTAGTAAACAAGAATGATTAGTGGTCCTATAATCCAGCACATTGTCTAGGGGCAGGATGATGTTGCTGGATTCTACAAGGTTGTGTATATCTTACCTGAGGATATACAGGGTATAATCATCATTGATGAATTAAATATCCTACGATTTTGTTCTGACAATGTGAATATAACGCAAGATGTAGATATTTTTAGAAAACATCTCAGATGATGTTAATGTTACAGATTACGATTGTGTCAAGGTCACATGATACTATAGGAATCATGTGATACTTGAGTGATGGTTACTAAAGGAATCATATGACCTCTGAGTGATGGTTACTATAGGAATCATGTGACCGCTGAGTGATGGTTACTATAGGAATCATGTGACCTCTGACTGATGGTTACTGTTAGGAATAATGTTAGCAATTATCTAAACTTGCATCGTATAATCATGTGACCTCTAAGTGATGGTTACTATAGGAATCATGTGACCCCTGAGTGATGGTTACTATAGGAATCATGTGACCTCTGAGTGATGGTTACTATAGGAATCATGTGACCTCTGAATGATGGTTACTATAGGAATCATGTGACCTCTGAGTGATGGTTACTATAGGAATCATGTGACCTCTGACTGATGGTTACTGTTAGGAATAATGTTAGCAATTATCTAAACTTGCATCGTATAATCATGTGACCTCTAAGTGATGGTTACTATAGGAATCATGTGACCCCTGAGTGATGGTTACTATATGAATCATGTGACCTCTGAGTGATGGTTACTATAGGAATCATGTGACCTCTGAATGATGGTTACTATAGGAATCATGTGACCTCTGAGTGATGGTTACTATAGGAATCATGTGACCTCTGAGTGATGGTTACTATAGGAATCATGTGACCTCTGACTGATGGTTACTGTTAGGAATAATGTTAGCAATTATCTAAACCTGCATCGTATAATAAATAAATAAAGTTTGATATGAAATTTGTTCACGTCGACTCCTCAGTATTCATGACACCTGTGCTGAAATTACTTAAATATACAGACGATTAATCTTTGGAGTCATTGCCAGCACACATCAGTTTTAGGAAACAGCATATATCGTGTTATAGTTTTTCACAGATTAATTCGGAGAACTGCGAGATAAGTGGCTAGACTGATAAAGAATTGGATAAGAAATTAACATATTTCCTCTTTTTAATTAATTGATATATGTCATACCAAGTAACACAAAAGGATGATACCACGCTAAACATTTGTGGATTTAAACATATTCAAGTGCTTATCTTATAAAACAAAAACAGGAGGTCATTTATCTCAGTTAAAAGTGAAATAAATGTGTTTAGATGCTAGCCAATGATCTACCAGATGCTTTTAAAGTTATAGTTATTTTTTTGTTCACTAATTACACAAAATAAATTTAGATCTATTTAAAAGTGTGAATAACGTTAAGTATCTCTCAGTTTTCCTCGTATCTGAGATATTTAAAGACAGGATGTGTATATGTTCTTCTCAATTAGATTTAAACAAGATGATGTCTTGAACATAAGGTTGTAATAAATTTGTCTCTCTGAGTTTGAAAATGGCCCAAAGGGTCATCATTCAAGGTAAAGTTAATTCTGGTACGTATATAGTTACGTCCTGCCTTAGCATGCCTGTGATGTAACTACAACCCCTAGAGGTCTGTGACCTCATCAACAATATCTCTCCATACGGTAGTAGGTATTAGTTGAATACTGACAAGATATGAACAGAAAATCTTTCAGCTTGACCAACATCTGGTCTGATTATGTCCATTTAGGAATTGTAGACCTCCTCCATTGGTCAGTTAGTCAGTATTATACAAGAATTGTATGTGATGATAAAACATAGGGTATGCTCACTGGGTAGCCAGGAATAAGGACCTGGGGGGTATGTGGTGGGGTAGGCAGGGGGGGGGGGTTCGCCAGTGGGAGTGGTCCTCCCTGCTGTGTTTGACTTGCATAGTGATTTGCTATTATGATGATATTGTAGCAGGGACATATTGGATTATATTGACAGGATGTCATGGAGTGTGGGCCGTTGTTTGTTTGATCATCAGTAACACATCCTTAAGTACATAAAGTACTGTTAATATATGAGTACTATAATATTATTAGTGGGACAATCTTTATGTGTAAAAATAACACATAATATAAGTAGTTTTAGTAAATTTGATAAAAAAAAATTTTTTTTTAGTTGAATTATGTCCCTGACTTCACGTTTAGATTCATTGATAGTACCCGGTATTCAATAGTTGAATCATTTATAAATTTATAGATTTCAAAATATTAAGTAATTGAATTATATATAGATTAACATTACAGTTGTATCTTATTTCATTGTAATGTATCAGGAATTAAAATTGTTCATTTCTACATATAAGTTGAAACAAAATTGCATGCTTACTTTGTTCAGAATTTTTTTCTATTTTTTTAAATAAATATAATGATTGATCAGAAATACAAAAATCATAACGCTATCAAATTCTTCCCTGAAATTGATCTCTGTTGTTCATTTGTTTTAATTTTTACGTTAAAGTGTCGTTGTATTCTGATTGGTATCTCTTTTTTACAGGAATTACCTTAACTTTGTCACGGAAGAAATCAAAGACCCATACAGGTAAGCTCACCGTTACGATCATGTCATGTTTAGTATCTACTGATATCTCCCTTCTACAATCACTAATTAACACATCTCAAAACACTGGGTAGTTCAGGGTATGTAGGTACATAACTTAGTAGTTAAAACCCCAGCCTCCTGGAATAACTTTAGAAGTATCTAGAATGAAATAATTATTTTACTCTGAGAAGCGAAAGAAAAAGATTTATCACAAGCAATTATTTTTGTGAATCACCAGTGGGCTAATATTTTTAAATATTACGGAAACAGAAAGGTAAATTAGTTACTATTGGCACCATATATGAAGGGAAGTAACTGAAGGAATGCATATCTCACAAACTATGGGCAGCACCAGATAAAAGGGGAAGTAACTGTAGGGATACAAATTTCAAAGACTATGGGCAGCACCAAGCATAAAGGGAGATAACTTAGATGTATAGATTTACGGTATACATATCTCAAAAATTATGGGCAGCACCAGATATAAAGGGAGGTAACTGTAGGGATACATATCTCAAAATCTATGGGCAGCACCAGATATAAAGCAAAGTAACTGTAGGGATACATATCTCGAAAACTATGTGCAGCACCAAGCATAAAGGGAGAGAACTTATGGGCAACACCAGATTCTATAGTTTTTTAGTGTTTGTCTAGCTCCCTTTCCCCTATTTTTTGTTGGTGGTACATCAGGCAAACTCACACTTACAACTCAATCTTTACAAACTGCTTTACTGAAAACTGTATGGTTTCCCAATCAAACTAACAAATATACAAATGTATCATTTTTTTTGTCCTTTGTGTTGTTATCTTGAAAATAAAAAAAAATACAAAATTTAGCTCTGTTATGATATTAACAGAAATTTGTTGTAGTAATACATGAACCAGATATTTGATAGTATGTAAATAAACGAAAATCACCCAAAATTTGTCTGTGTCAGCGTGTAGTTTATAGGATAGCCTGAGGTAATTGCTTCGATTGAACCAATTGACAATTTAATTTGTCCCAAGCAAATAAACTTCGTCTAATACTTTTGTTCAAATAAGGCCAATGGAAATGGCATGACAGTTTTACTGTGACAAAGATATATTGCAAGTCATGAAGTTGTCGTTATTGTGGTTACAAAGCTGGACTTTTTTAATTTGGAGACTGCTAGTGTTTATTGATGTGACAAATACCATTTTACAGATGCCTGCTTTACTGGAAAGCTTCATTACATACTCGCAAGTAATAGGAGAGAAACAGATGATCAAATTAATTTTTGTTAAGACAAATCTCCCGGGCGTAAATAATTCCCCTATTTCTTTCTATTAAGCCACTGTACTTGAGATTCCAACAGTTCGAAGTCAGAATACAAACCGCTTACTTAACTATAATTGGCCGTCTTCTTTATTCGTTTTGTCGGCAATTTATTTTCACTTAACACTTCTGAAGTGTAAAACCCAGCTGTCACGTCACGTCTTTTTATTCCACTGTTACATAACACGGATTGGTAGAATATTAAAAAAAACTTGTGTTGTGGTAGTCACTGAAATTGCACATTATATGAAGGGCCACTTTCTTGACTATGGAGGTTTCTAGGAAATTTCTAGGAGCAGAGGACTACCGGACAAATTCAGCCATTTTAAGTCAGTGTAAAATTTTAATTGGGTCATTTTATGTGAAATTAAAAGGAAAATGGAAAGGGCTAATTTCATTTTTGAGTGTCCCATGATGAAGACTTTGCCTTTTTTTCATTGACTGGTTTCAATTTTTCTTTCGGTATAATATATACCAGGATACTGTTTATATACCATAAATACACATTTATTTGGACTTTTTTTTATCAAAAGTCTTGTCAGCTTAACCAACCTTTAAACAATTTCAAGTTTTGGAGGGAAAAATTTTGATAAATCTCACATATTTTACTTTTTGTGTTTGATATATATAAGTTATATTTAATTTCTAAGAAAATTTTTTTCTTTCATGTTTAGTAATTGTTTGAAAGGATGAACTTAATTTTGTTGTTATTGGAGTTTTTCTGTCAAGTGCATTGAACCCTCTGACCCAGATATTTTTCATCATTTCTCTAATTGATTATTTCCATTAAAAAAAAATTGTGAGTAAATGTGAAATTTCATCAATAGCTACCTTCGGATTAAGCTATATCCGGTGTCCTGATAAGTACCTACCTGCGGAAATTTTGATAGGCTTTTAAAAATTACTTTCGGTCTTCGGTAAACACATATTTGATCAGTAAAACTCAATTATTTCACGATTATAATCGTAATGTGATGTCTCAAACATTGTTTCATATCATTCTTTGTAGCCATCTTAATATGATACCTCTATATGAAGAGCATGTTAAAAAGCTTTTAACAAAATCTTGGTTCTTGTGTGGATGAACCTACAGTGATGGTCACTACAAATAGGAACTGAGCAAGATTTTTCAGTCCTGTGATCATTCATGGGGTTTGAAGTAAAAGAAACTTGCATCCGATTTGTGATAACATTTTTATGCCCCCGCCATTTATGGCCGGGGGCATATAGCGTTGCCCATTTCCGTCCCGTCCCGTCCCCGTCCCGTCCCGTCCTGTCGCGTCCCAAATCAGTATATACCACCTAACAACTTCATTCGGACCTTTCACTATTATTTCACATGGGGGGCGGGGCATTCATGTCTTGCAGACATTTTCTAGTTTTCTCTTTATTTCCATGGTTATCGTATCTGTCGATCTGTCCCTAGAATAATAATGCACTGACACTCAAAATTTCTTCCCTTCAAACAATTGATTCCATAAAACAGATCATGTGACTGGCATGGCTAAATTTAGCGAAAACTTCGGTTTTGAATATTGTCTTCAATACAGTTACAAAAATAATTAAAACAGCATATTTTCTTCTCCAGAATAGCTACGATAATTCAGTTTAAAAGCTGAAAAAAAGTAAAACCAATTGATCAAAGTCTTGTTTGAAATATCATGGTTGTATTTATTAATTGAAACTGACAGAAGACATCGTAATATTCCTGGAAGTTCATGACTTAAAAGTAATTCTCCGTTGTTTACGAAAGTAAATGACCTCTTTGACAAGTTCTAAGAGAAAGCAGGCTTACCAAGTGTTTTATTAATTATTCATTAATTCCCGGTGATATTTATTTTCCTCAGTGGGTCACCTATCAGCAAGATATGGTAATTATAATTGATCTGAATATCCAGGTTAATACCTGTATAATTAGTGGGGTCGTTAAGCTAAATATCGCATCATAATTGATTCATCATTTCCAAGCTTGGCCCAGAAGGTGATAACTGGGTATGGTGATGTTTGAAGACTAGCATGATGAATTTAGTTGTATTTGTAACTATATATAATTTGATATATGTAAGTTTATCTATATTCTGTGAAACAAAATCAATGATTGCTGTATTTAACATGCCTGGAAATATATCTGTTATTTTTCAATAGAATTCACAAAAAGCTTACAATATATTTTATTTTCATGTAAGCTACACTGTCCCCTGATTTGCGTGAGATTTTGGATTTATGCACACTAGCTGGGTTTTCTTTTTTAGATAAGTTCAATAAACATACTATGGATTATTTCAACTTTGAGCATAATCATCATTTGAATGTAGAAAAAACAGGATGTGTTTTTGACACACTATGCCCCCTGTTGCAACAAAATTTTGGGGGGGGGGGTCATTCAAAATAAGTATGTAAATGTCACACAAATACAAGGAACATTTGCTGTGTGTCGTTTGTCCCTGTTAAAGTTTTGCTGACAATGATGAGCAGTACAACATGAAGTTGTATAACTTCGATTTCACTCTAAATTGTAAAGTTGATCAAAAAACCTGGATTACTGTCGATGGTGTTCTTTCTGTGTTATGCGTAGTTATATGCCATTTCAGATGTGTAAGTTGAGATGACTCTTGGGGGGTGGGGGGTTGATATTCATTTATACAACTGCTGCGCCTTCAACAATATCAAATTTTTATCATGTGACTGCATACGTGTTTCTGACGCGAGTTTTTGTTTGTTGTGTGTCATTGAAAAACAACACTGTAGTCATTTCTTTATGGAATTCCTCCAGTAATAGGCTGCCATGTGTTTATATTCAACAAAAAAACTGGCTTCTAGCTGAAAATTTCAATCCTTGTTTGACATTTCTAGACTTACCAGGTAAAAAGTCGCACTGCACTCGCAAAAAATGATGTCAAATTTACTGGCGACCAGGCTTTTACTCCATGGTGCTATTATAGCCCTCGGATTTCATTCTGATAATTTTTTTTGCAAAATAAATAAAAAATGAAAGGAATAAGAAATATATACATTATTTATTGTTGATTTCAGAATATTTATCTTCATTTAAGAGTGCTCTGTCACGATATATTTGTTATTTTCTTTATACAGAAATTTGCCACGAGCCATTGGTATCTCGCTACCGTTGGTGACCATCATTTATGTGCTAGCTAACATTGCCTACTTCGCTGTACTTACACCGGTCGAGATGCTGAAGTCAGACGCCATAGCTGTGGTAAGTAAATCTTATGCTGACCATCTTATAGACAAGGTCAAGGTCACATACTATTGCTCCAAGGTCAAATTCCTAACCTGATGGGACCTGAAGAAATTAATGACATATATATTGTGTTATATGTCAATGTCATGACAATTGTCAGGGGCATTTGTTAACAAAAGTTTTTTCATCACAAGTATTTTACCAGTATTTCCTCACAAGCAATCAATATTTTTCATTGTTTTTTTTTTTTAATTATTGTGAGAGATACCATTTTTGGAATGACATGCCTCCCAATTGCTAAAATTTAAATGTAAACCTTTTTTTTTTTGATCAACAGACATTTTGTTTCTAAAATATTATATGATATAAAAAAACAATTTACATTGACAAGTTGATGTAGATATTTGTTTCATAAAAACCAGAATTTGGCCTTAACTTCCTGAATACCTGTCTTTATGTGACATCTTTATAAGGTTGATCTTTAAATGCCATGGCATTTGTTAAAGTGGTTGAATAACAGTACAGAAATATTGATTTTCAACACTACATTTACAAAACAAACAAATAGTTCGAAAATATAAAGAAAAAAAAGTTAAATTATGTAAATACAATGTATGTTGTTTTTTGTCGTAGACTTTTGCGGATCGGACATTAGGAGTAATGTCTTGGACAATGCCTGTATTTGTGGCCTGCTCAACATTTGGAGGTCTCAATGGAGCTATATTTACTTCAGCCAGGTACAGTAACTAATTAGGTCAGGTTCAACCAATCTGTCTTGCCAGATATCACAGTCAGTGATATATTTTAGGTGTATTCATCTCATACTTTACTGTACCTCAATTTTGACATCAGATCTCAGCTGTAAACTGAGATTTAATTGATTCATGTGACTGCACTCTTGGAATTTTGAAAGATTCTTTTTGGTAGATATATGTATTATGTTCTGGAAACCAAGTGTTAATTTAAGGTCAGAAACTTTCACAGCTTGTCGTTATTGTATAGTTAGACTATCTAATCTGATTAGGGATCAATGCTGTGACAGCAGCTGAGGTAAACAGATGTTAAGATTTATCAAATCTGGGATTATTGATATACACATACCACAGCATGATAACACCCATCACATACATAACATTAAAGTTGATGATATTCAAAATATATGACAAGATAGACTGACATTTAGTTTGATAAGATCTTCAAATCTTTGATGAAACTAAAAAAATTTAAAAATTAGAAAAATATATGAAATTATTTTGCCTTTAAGACAAAGTTTAACTTAGATCCCTATTAAGTTTTTTAGTTTCCAAGACTATTATACAAATTGTTGTCTTTCCTTGTGTTACTATGTAGTATCATAGTAACAGGCCACAAATATATGTAATACTTATATGTGTAAGTATGTGTTGATTTCTGAATTACAATGTAGAGGCTAGTTATTTTGACATATTATGTCACCAAATTTAATGTCAGCAGAGAGAAAACTGATTAACAAAATCTGCATTTCTTTACATCGTTTTGATGACATATGACATCAATCTTAAGACCTATTCTATTTTAGTGTCTCTGAATAACGTATTTCCCTTGACCGAATTTCGTTTTCACTTTTGTGATAATTGGCATTTTATGTTTCTGTTCTTCCTCAATCCCACCCTGTCTGCCCCCATATCAACCAATTTGTCCTTATCCCATCCTGTCTCCCCATCCCATCCTGTCTGCCCCCATCCCATCCTGTCTGCCCCCATCTCATCCTGTCTCCCCCATCCCATCCTGTCTGCCCCCATCCCACCCTGTTTGCCCCATCTCACATTGTCTGTCCCTATCCTATCCTGTCTGCCCCCATCCCACCGTCTCCCCCATCCCATCCTGTCTGCCTCCATCCCATCCTGTCTGCCCCCATCCCACCCTGTTTGCCCCTTCTCCCTTTGTCTGGCGCTATCCTATCCTGTCTGCCCCCATCCCACTGTCTCCCCCATCCCATCCTGTCCGTCCCATATTATCCAGTCTTAAGTTGATATAATGTTGTTACTCTTATTTAGTGTTATTGATCAAATATGTTTGATTCTACCTTGTTCATATCCACAGTAATTTGATATTTACAAAAAAGGCTATTTTTTAGTGGAACACATAAAAGAATTTTTTTATCTTATGATGGTCTAAGCATAAGTGAGGTGTATTTTTGTATCCATCAAGTCCAAGGATGGTTATTGAACAGCCTATTTGTAATGGCCTTTATTTGTATACAGAGAAAAATAAGCTGAAAGCTGATGAAAATGTATTAAGTATGAAAGTCATTAGGGTGAAGATTCCATTACACAGGACCTTGTACTGTCTGATACACAGGACCTTGTTACCTGTACTGTACTGTCAGATACTATAACATTACACAGGACCTTGTACTGTCTGATACACAGGACCTTGTTACCTGTACTGTCTTATACTATACATTGGACTTTGTTCTGTACTGTCTTATACTATAACATTACACAGGACTTTGTTGCCTGTACTGTCTTATACTATAACATTACACAGGACCTTGTTACCTGTACTGTACTGTCAGATACTGTAACATTACACAGGACCTTGTTACCTGTACTGTACTGTCAGATACTATAACATTACACAGGACCTTGTTACCTGTACTGTACTGTCAGATACTATAACATTACACAGGACCTTGTTACCTGTACTGTACTGTCAGATACTGTAACATTACACAGGACCTTGTTACCTGTACTGTACTGTCAGATACTATGACATTACACAGGACCTTGTTACATGTACTGTCAGATACTATGACATTACACAGGACTTTGTTGCCTGTACTGTCTTATACTATAACATTACACAGGACCTTGTTATTAGCAGGGCCAGACTCACATAATGCAGTTTTCTAATTTAAGATATTTCTTACAGGTTATTTTTTGTTGGTGCTCGTCAAGGACACTTGCCAGGTTTCTTAGCAACAATAAACTACAAATTCTTCACTCCTCTGCCATCTCTAGTGTTTGGGGTAGGTATTGCAAGTACGGCCCACACAGAGAGTGAAATTCCTGACATTTTTTATGATATTTCAAATATGAGTCATGAATTTTGCTATCTACAGTATGAAATTTCTTCTGATTGTAAATTTTTAGGTCACCTGAGATAAAGTCTCGTGGTGAAGATTACAATCACCTCCAGCGTCATGTGTCATACGACTGTAAACAATTTAACATTTGCGATTTCTCAAAAACTCCTTAACCAATTTCAACGAAATTTTGCAGAAACTTTTCCTGGCCTGAGATGAATAAGACAGTGAATTACATGGTTCCCACCCTATGGGGGCCTGAGGGGCAGGGCAAAAAGAGTCAAATTTACTAAAATTTCAAAATTCTTCTTCTCAAAACCTAGATATAGAAGAATCAATGCTCTTTATTGATGGAGGCATCTTAAAATACTAAACTTGTGAATTTGATGGCACCAGGATGGGGAGGGGATAAAGTTTACCATCGTTCATGTAGGAAAAATAGATTTTTGGGTAAGATTTATTTCTGTTAGAAATATTTCAAACTTGGTTATTGGTTAGAATTATGAGTGAAGGATGACGGCTAGATGGTCTGAAAAGATTTATCCAGACTGACCCCCAGGGGTTAAGCAGGGTCAAAGGGTGTCAAATTGACTTAAATTTTTAAAATCTTCTTCTCAAAACCCAGATATGGTCGAATCAAATGCTCTTCAAGGATGGAAGCATCTTAAGGTGCTTTCATTACCGAAATAGGTCTCGCATATCTTCCTAGGGAGGAGGTTCATTTTATTGTAAATTTTATAGAAAAATTGCATTTTTGAGCATAACAATGTTTATTTCCCTCTAGAAATAACTTTGTAAGATTTACTAATATAGGACATCAATTTTGATAGTATGCCTGGATTGACACTGGCTTACTATCATGAAATGTCACAATTACTTTTTCATGACACTTAAAAGCTACCTCCTCTTTAACCTTTATATTCAATATTGCTAATTTCGGGTGTCCGCCACAGCCACTGTGCCTCTTGTTACATGGATATATCAGATTTTAAAAAGTTAACGTTAAGTCTTCTTAGTCGTTGGTCAAGTTATATCAATTTTTAGAAATAATCAGAAATTAAAACAATATATTCCTAATGTTTGAATTAATTTGCAATGAATTTATCACAGTCATAAGAAAGTATGGAAAAAAAAAATAAATTCAGCAATAGTATAGGTCCTGCTGAAGCCAAAATGTTCGGGCAAAACCAGTAGACGTGTTAATAAAGTTATCACACTGAAGATCCTAAATTTGTTGCGAATGACCACGCCCCCTTCTTAGCAATAGTAAGGATTTTTTTTATTTCTGTTACAGTGTATAATGTCACTTATCATGCTGTGTTGGAATGACATTTACGCGTTAATAAACTACGCCAGTTTCGTGGAGTCTTCCTTTATCGGAATCAGTATTGCGGGTATGCTGTACATGAGATATAAATATCCTGACTGGGAACGACCAATTAAGGTAGGAAGACATCCTAAATATGTAATGCTTGTGTGTGTGTGTGTGTGTGTGTGTGTGTGTGTGTGTGTGTGTGTGTGTGTGTGTGTGTGTGAATTTCAGAATGTGCAAGCTTATATAATTTTATCGAGATTTGTGTAAAAAAAATGGAAAATAAAAAATTCAAAAAACTAGTATACAAGAGTCTTTACTGCAATCGCTTGTTCTAATTATAACTTTATCAAGCTATTGTATGACAGATAATGAATTAATGAAATTCCAGATTCTAAAAATAGAATAATTTCTGTGAGCGGTATTTTGGTGGGATTGGGATTTTTTTTTTCAATCGGGTTAGATTGCACACTAAGTTTACATACTGTACCTATGGTTTTCAACAGGTGATAGAAATACAAAATCTTGTCCCATCTATACTACCTTGTGCAAATTCTGTTACAGATATCATAACAGCTGTTTTCTAATATAGCTGATTATTACTTGTGTGTTAAAAGTTTTTTGGTTTTTTTCTTCTGCCCCAGATACCTCTGTATTTGTTTTCATATTTCACATAGTCATTTACACCTATTTGTAGTTGAAATCTGTTTCAATTATTCATCTAAAGATATATTATACATGTGTCAGAGAATACCTCATTTTACATCATGTAACTTAACCTGTTTATATCAACATTCTACAAAAAAATAAAGATTATCTTGATGTCTGGTAGTATTGTGTGTCATTGTTGGTACAAATATTTTGCACGTATTTTCTTCTGAAAACGTTAATGTCATGCCGCTTTGAAGTACAATGCCGTTTATACATTTTTTTTTTTCTAAATTTTGTAAATAAGTTGATAGAATTTCAAGTTAGGTAATACATACTCCCCAGTATGAAATACTCTGTTCCCACTCCATCTGTAATTTGTCACCTTGTCCTAGTTTGTCAGTATTCATTAAAGAGGATGTGATGACACTGTGATGTTGTCAATGTGACTTTCAATATATAAACTAAAAGTTGGATCAGGACAGAAGTGTTGTTGCAACTGCACAGTAAATGTTTTGAATTTACGTCATTGAAAATTTATCTTCTTTACACTCATAGAAGTGCAGTGCATTGTGTATTTTGGGAACTGACGTTTACTTAGTGTTCTTAGTGAAACACATTTTTTAGAAGAAAAAAAAGCTAGTTTATAAATCAGACCTCTTTTTCATTAATGCTATTTTTACAAACTTGTCTGTTTTTACATTTTTGAGAATTTAAAGAGTCAAATTTTGTGATTTTTCCATTTTGAAATTTTAAATTTGGATTTTTATACCGTTCTGTCAGTAATGCTAATTTTTTTCTCCCTTTGAAATGCATTTGCGTGGAATATTGATTTGGGCTCCATCTGTCCGTCCAAGCATCCATCTTTCCATCTGTGCCAGGCTATAACTTCAAAACTGTTCAACTGAACTTAAGAAAACTTCCTGTATATATTAAGTTAGTGCCCTAGTTGTGTCTTTTGCTTTTTAGTTACCTTGGAAACATAGTAAAAAAACACTAAATAGTTCATTGCTCATATATCTATTCCAATAATACGCATTCAACGAACGTTTGTTTCATGGGATATACATAGTAGATTCTATTGAGAAAATTGAGGAGATACAAGGAAATTTAATTGATAATTGACAAAGGAAGACATTACATTTTGCACATACTGTTGATATTACTTACTAGATTATATTGAACAAAAGAAGACATTAAGTTTTGCACTAGCGCTTAGCGGTACATAATTTTGAGTGATGTCACAAATTGTTATATGTTATATTTGGGTTTTACGCCATCAGCTTTGTGGTTCCATGGGTGTTTTTTTTTTTTTTTTTTTAATTTATGCTAGGCATTCAGAGTTTTTAAAATTTTATTTTTTGTTCAATAGGACTGTATATATAATATTCACACTTTTTTTTCAGGTACATATATTCTTTCCCTGCTTCTTCATGGTCATCTGCCTATTCCTGTTCATCATGCCCCTGACCGCGAGTCCTATGGAATGTTTTATGGGATTACTAATGGTGGCTACTGGCATTCCTGTGTATATCTTAGGAGTGATGTGGGAAAACAAACCAGAGGCCTTCAAAGTTTTAACAGGTCTGTATTTAAATGCTGTATCCATACGTCATGCAATAAAATTCATAGTGAAGATTTTATAGAGATACAAATCCCTGGGATAATTTCCCGTGTTTTCCGTCTATGAGACTCCTAAATAAAGTATAGAAGGAGGATTGTAAAGTCGTTATTTTCTTTATAATATGTGTTTATGATGTCGGTTTTGTTACATCTCGGTTGATAGAGCATGAGTCTTTGCAACATCTGTGCGGTTAGACATTCCTTACATGAAGTGGTCTGTGTTACTTAGGAAGCTGAGAAACAGGCCAGATTTGTGTCAATGTGATTATGATTTTGAGCCAGATGTTTTACCCGAAATGCTCTGGATGACCTGCGATGGGCTTCAAGGAGATCCCACCCCAAAATTTACCCTGGGTGGTCTCCAGCTACAAGGAGACCCCACCCCAAAATTTACACTGGGTGTTCACTGAGCAAACAAAGACCTTTTTTGACAAAAATACTTAACAGGAAAGAATTTGATTGGTTTAGATTAATTTGACCTTGAACCTTTATCAATTTACACTTACAATTATCCTTAAAATGTTACTTATATTGTCATATGGTCCTTTTTTATGAAGAAGATTACAGGTGACCTATGACCTTTACCTCTGATCATGTGATCCCAGAAGTACACAATAGAGCTTTAGTCCTAACATTACAACTGGATGAAAGCCACTGTTTACGATAAAGATCCTCGTAAACGACCTTTATGCACTTGGCTGTTACTGTTGACTTTGAACAACAATCAGCGTGTGGCATTCAAACTTTAGAAAACAGGATTCCACAGTTTATGTGACCTGCTGCCAGCCTTCAACTAAAACACACTAAGCCTTGTGTATATTTCTGAACCCGTAGTACGTAGAAACTATAAAGGGTAATTCTTTAAATCCTTTTACTACCTATAACTCTGTCATATAGTAGCCAGAAATGATATACAATATTTTTTTTATTTCGGATTATTTCAACATTAAATATGTAAGATAGATGTAAAAATATGGGGGCTAAGGGTTTAATTTTTTATTTTATTTATTGTTATTTTATTTTTTCAGAAAAGTTCACAAAATTTACTCAGAAAATGTTCCTGTGTGTGAGGGAAGAACTGAAAGAAGATTGAAGATGCCAGCCTACAAAAAGAAGATACATAACAACACAGCAAGTCTTAGCTATTTATTGTCATTTTAACTGCTGCGGGCCATGTAAAAACTTTGGGAGTGTCCAGTAAGACATGGTGGGACTTTTCAGAGTAGATTACTCCTGTGTTTTTGTTATGCCCCACCATTTATTGGGTGGGGTCATACAGTATGCCCCGTATTCATCCATCCTGTTCCATTCTGAATCAGTGTCACATCTTGAGAACTAGCTGTCTCTCACCAGGCATTTATGTCTGATAGACATTTCCCAGTTGAAATAATATGGAACCTTTTTAATGAATTTAGACGTCAATTTGACTTATGGACCGCTGCTAGGTAGCCTGTTGTGCTTCACGTTTAACGGCTGTCGTCAAATACTGCCAGTTCTTTGCCATGTAAGATTTCTGTGTTGTCTTAATAGAGTCCTAATGAAGTTGTTTTTGAGTGTCGGTGTCTTCCTGGAAGTTTATAAAGCTCGAGGCCAATTTCTGACACAACAGTGTTACTCACACGAGAAAGATGATGAAGAAAACACTCCAAAGCTCTTAATACTACGTAGTATATCCTGTCGAATTGGTTAATGGTATTCACTGGATTTTATTTTATGTACCAGCCATTTCATCAAGGGATAGGATTATCATCTTATTCATGTCTGTCCGTCCGATTGTGTCACATCATTTTTCATTCCAAATCAATGTCATATTTTGAGAACTTCTCAACAGATTTTTTTCATGTTTACCCAGAAGTATCTTAACATCAAATCCTACACCTTATTAAGGCTGTCATCAGTCAAGGTTCAAGGGTCAAAGGTTACATTTAACAAGGGGTCAGAGGTTACATTTAACAACTTCTGCAGTTTCATCAAACAATGCTACTTGTCTGGGAGAGAGGCAGACATATTCTAGTTTTCTTTTGAATGACATTTGCTATAAATGAAATTTTATCAGTGACAACCAACCAAAAAATCTTCAACTTAATGTCATAATGTTTTTGCTTTTAATGACCTGTGGACCAAGTTTTAAGTTTTAACCTTCCAACTAACTCTTATATTGTCAGGTTAACTAATGATATTAAGTAAGATTGTTGAAGGAATCTCAGTTTCTGATTAAATCTGTCGGTGTTTTAAATAATTTCAAACTCATACATATTCATACAAACTCATACATATTCATACAAACTCATACATATTCTGTTGTAAAAAAAATTGTAACATCCCTAATTTTTTTTTTTTTTTTTAACTTTTATCCAACTTTTGGAATGGAAAGTCCTTTTGATAGATATTTAACGAGACTTTTTCAAACATAAACTTTTTTGTTTCAAACTCCAACATATGAAATATTTCTAGTTCAAGAATAGTGCTTCATTTTTTAATTATTTCCATTTGTTTTACATTTGATCAAAACTCCATTATAAGGGAAAACATCCATTAAGTATTGGCTGTAACTTCATAAAGCTTTTATTTTTTTAATATGTGCATATAATATATATATATCATATATATGGAAAATCATTGTTAAATATTGTTTGTAAATCTGTTAAGCTTTGTGATGTGTAGAACACCTACATATTCAAATCTGTTATTTTCAGTACCAGGTACATGCATTGATGTTTTGATGTTCATTAACAACTTTTTTTAAATGTCAGTATTTATGGTAAATATAATAGAAAGATTTCTCATCATTTTACATTTAGTTTTGACAGATCTTGTGTAATCTGGATTAAAGAATTGCTATTTTCCGACTCCAGGCAGTTTTGCCACACTCAATTTTCAGACAGTGGAAAGTACAACTTCATTTTTTAGGGGAATAATGCATTTTGGGTGTAGAGGATAAAATGTGTCATTACATTTACAAATTCTAAGATTGTCAATATTTTGAATTGTTCATATTTTGTGATGTTTATGTTGATATTGATTAGCATTGTATTTTTGATGTATTTTATTCAAGTCTTTGTTAAAAACTGTTCAGTTTCTTTTATCACAAAAATAGAACGGTTTTTATATTGATGCAGATTTCTCAGCTTTTGCAAGATTGATTGATTGATGGATGGATTTATTGATTTATTGATTGATTGATCAGTTACTGGTACTAATGCTTGTCTTACTAAATCAATTATATCAAATAGTTGGAGGCTTGAGCGTTTTGTACGTCAGTATAAAGATATATTTAGTTACATTGTGGGACTCTCTGGCTGTCTACATTATAAATTTATGTATATTTGGATCTGAAATTCATCTGTATTTGTCAAATGTAAAAATTATTTGTCATCTTCTACTTTTGATTCATTTAGTTTTGTCTGTTAAGACAAATATTGAAGATTATGATCGTCTTACCATATTTGTTTGACATGTGTAAAAGTTTTAGTGTTTAACACCAGTCAGTGTTTCTTCAAATTGTCAATTTTTGTGTTTTATTTACTTTGTTACCAAAATATAACAATTTTTGTTTACATTATTTTTTCCTATCATTTTCATAAAGTGTGTATAGAGTATAAACGAAAAAAATCAAAACACCAACAATTGTCATAATACACCAGATTACGTTTGTAGATACCATGAAGTTCAAAGCAATTTGCTCAAAACATTTAAATATGTTATAAAATCTCTTTTTTGCTGCAATATTATCAGTTATTGTTGAATCTATATAAAAGCTATTTTTCTATTATGAAGTACACTATTACATGTACTGGTAAGAATCTCATTAACAGGGAATCAAACATTCTGCATATTGTGTATGATACTTTACAAAGGTGCCTGTATTTGGGTATGTTGAAAATGCAATATTTAACATGAATGTGATGTACTTCTCTGATAATTTTTTTTAGTCCGATTTGAATTTTCGTTACACATTTTAATGTTAGAGAAGGATGTTAACACTACTGTATATTGATTTGATCAAATATTTTTTTCTTAAACCTAATTTACAAGGCATTAAATTTCTTATTTTTTTAAGTGCAACTGCCACACATATTTAACATTTGGTTACTGGTTTTAGATTGTGTTCAGATTTGGTGTTTTTAGGGGAGATAACTGTGACACTGTGTGCCTAGCATTTTATCGTATGTAGTATTGGTACAAAATATGTACTTCATATTCCAAGAAAAACAACCAACGCAATTACATATTTTTTTTATGCTATTCTTAGATATCAATCTTGGAAAATATTATTTTACAATATAACCATTTATTGATACTCAACAAAGAGAAAAATGCTGAGATTTTTTCATTTTGAAATATGTGAAAGAAGACAGATATAAAATGAGGTATGGTTATTGTATAAGAAATTTTGTGCTTTCATAATAAAACAGGTCTTTTTTTTTTATTTAGAAAATGACATCGGAATGTACCACTTTTTCCAGTGTGATATTATGTTAAAATGTAAATATAACAATATTGTGCAGGGTTTTCCATAAAAGCTGGTCACCGGCCAATTTGACCGGCTACTTTGATCATTTGGCCGCCTACACCATTCCAGTTCCGTAATAATGTTCCGTACCTGACTACACGTACAGGGCAGGCCAGCCTCCTACTTTCACTACACAGCCTACTACTAACAAAATTATGGAAAACCCTGTTGTGATATTTTGAAAACCATTCAATATAATTAGATCATACTAACCCCATTGTTTCATAACAAGTGTTCTACACCTGAGCATACTTCAGTAGCCATTAATTTGACAACTGCAAGTTAAATGAATAATGATATTGGGATTACAGGCATTCATCTCTTACAAACATTTTTAAAAAATTTTTAACTAAAATAGACAATTGGTACTCCTTAGTTACTTAACTGCAGGGACGTTTTTTAAGGTAATGAATTAGCATGTTGTATTTCAATAGCAATATGTACATTAACACCGCTATCTTATATAATCTCTTTCCTCTTAGTTTAGATATATATTATATATTTAAACATAGGTAAGAACGGGTATATTACAGACCAATGATATTATTTGAAATTAAAAGTAAAAAATTACCGCCTTGAATTTGTATCAGTTATTAGCCATATTTCAATGTTATTAATTATTACGCAATATCAGAGTGAAGATGCCTGTGTTAGAAATATAGAATTACTTTTATAAATACAACCTTCTCGATTTGCACCGCTATATTTTAGAACTCGATATTGTTGTGTAAGTGTAGTTCACAAGTGTTTCCTGCTGTACGTTTTTTTTTTTTAAGTAATTGAATGCGTTCTTCCTGACCACGGCTCTTGTCAATTATGTATATATATAAATATAGACGGAGTGCAAAGTGACTGCAGTGTTAATGTAAGTCATTAAAAATAAATTAGTGTGGGTGTTTTGTTTATAAATACACAGTGGTATATTAACGAACAACTGTGTTAATGACACTGTGTACAAGAACTGTGGAAATTCATTATGTACATAAAAATCACAGAATAGAGCTGCATTGTTGTGTCCGTCCTTAGTTAAAAGAGGAGATGCATTCTGTGAACCTCTCAACAAATTCATTTACATCAACACCATAGTTTCATGATATCACTGGTTAAGGTAATGGGTCAAAGGTTAAAGTTCATCACTTCGGCTCCAATTACATCATTGATACACGTCCTATCCTATATTGTTTTTAAATGCATTTAATTGGCCTCTCCTAGTTATCATACAATAGAGACAAAAATATAGACGGTAACTTTAAACCTGAAATGAGTCTGGATGCAATTTTTTGGAAATATCGAAAAAAAAATTCTTAGGTTTTTTTTGGGGGGAGGGGGGGGGGGGGGGGGGGTTGGATTTAAGAATATAGCTAGATCCCAGTTGCCCCTTGCCAGGTTTGTTGAAGTTTGTTTTATGTTTACCTCAGGAGTTAGACTTCGTGTGAGGGAACTGAACACATTCTATCTGTTCTAGGCCATCTTTTGACATGTCTCTGTAACATTATCTGTATCAACATTGTAGCATTGGTAAACACTATCTTTTATCACGCCCAAAAGATATTAAGTTAATTTTTTTTTAACTTTGGTATTGTGTATGTTTGTTGGAACTCGTTATATACTACAGTAGCTTCGTGTTTTTAATCAATGTGTAATGTGGAAAGTTTGTCCTCTTTGGTACATTCCATAATCATATACCAGTTATATTGTAGCAAGCAATATTTTTGGAAGAGCTGAACCAATTTCTGTATTTATCAATGACTTGTTTGATAAAAGATTAATACTTTGCAATGAATCCTGACTTGACAAGACACCTGGACATCTTGTACAAGAGAAACAGATATCAATATTGTGTTATATAAAGTATTTAACTTATCATGATAACTTTTCTGTGTGGATGTCATTTCTTGAAATCCAGTGATTTACAATTGAAAGTAAATCACCTATTAACAAGACTGTTTTGAGGAATATAGATCTGTGACCTTCATTTATTATTTACGTTAGAGGTCGTGAGTTGTCACGATGAGGTGTGGATTAAAGAGTAATTTCTTTTTGTGATTTTCATACTAGACCACCAGAGGAAGAAATTTCATCTCAAGTTTTGTCAGGTAACAAAATAACAATGGTTTAGTTAGTAAACTTATTTATTACTGCTCTACAATGTATAGAAATTGTTTACAGGAGACAAATTGTTAGCATATTTATATTTATTGAAACAAAACCAGCAGTTTTTGACACACTGCCGTGCATATCTTACAAGTTTTGTTGATATACGTGTTGGTTTATATAATTGTTATTTTAACATAGGTTACCTGTACGTAATTCTACTAAAAAATGTCGGACATCTACAAAATGCTCAGTGAATCAAATAAAAAATGGACTGATGCAAGTCAGATCATATCATTTTTAATTACATGTTAATCAGTTCAACTTATTAATTAACACTTGCTCCTATATAGTACTAACAAAATAGTCTAGTTAAGTGTTTTTGCACCGAGCTCTGTAAATGCTTTATTCATTTTAAATTCTGGTAGGAGAAATGCTTTTTAGGACACAATTTCTGTTTTTTGTAACTTTGAACAGTTTACCAAAATGAGAAATTTTGCATCTGTCATGACTGTGTCTCTAAAACACCTTACATTTATTTAATTATGTATGTAAATGTGTGTGATAGATCAATGGAAATGTGTGGTTATGCAGGAATGTGAAACTACTATTTCAATTAAAATATTAAAAAAGACAACTTTTGTTTTCAATCTATTGTTCAGTTCCTTACAGTGTATGGAGAATCTTCCTGAACTCCAGTGTGTGGAGTTAGATTTGGATCGCTGTGTGTTTTACTGGTTGATGGCCCTAACGAACTTGTATGTGTTGACGGGCCGTTAAGAATGCAATAATAATAATAAGTTAAGATTCGTACCAGCGGGGGTCACCTACCATCTTGACGTGGTGTTGTATCCATGGAAAATGATGAAAAAAAAATAAACAGTCGAAACGAACAGAGAACATGGAACACCACAATAGGTACTACATGTAGTAATAGTGTTTAAAACAAGGGAATTATTTTTTCAACTAATTAAAATTTCGCGATCTGTATGTAAAAAATTTGGAAGTTTGTTATTGCCACAACCTCGGTGGAAATCTCTATCTTTTAGAGAACAAGTGAAGACTGAACAGTGGTGGGCGCCACAACCTCGGTGGAAATCTCTATCTTTTAGAGAATAAGTGAAGACTGAACAGTGGTGGGCGCCACAACCTCGGTGGAAATCTCTATCTTTTAGAGAACAAGTGAAGACTGAACAGTGGTGGGCGCCAAAACATCGGTGGCAAACTAACTTTTAGAGAACAAGTGAAGACTAAACAGTGGTGGGCGCCACAACATCGGTGGCAATCTTGAAGAGAAGTTAAAAAAAACGTTTTAATTAGATGAGAAAATTTCATGTGACTAAGGGGAGGTAAGTCAAATTCAGTGCAAAAAGCTCCCGTTTCATTCATGATAGGACGTATTACATCCAGACTAAAGGAATTTGACTTATTTGAAATGTAATAATATGGTCTTGACAAGATGTCACAATTTACCAGGAGGAATATATTCGTCAGGTAATTAAGGTATTTTGATAGTGGTTTTAAGTGTACATTGATTAAAACAGGACAGTGGTCTCTACCTCATGATGACTTAATTTCAAAACGAGTTTTGTATTTATTACTTAATATAGGAGTAAAGACAATGATAATAATTGGGCAGAATTTTAATTAGATGTGAGTGATGGAACAATTTGTCTTCATTTAAACTACCATTAGTTATTTGCAGTTTTAATTTACTAGATAATCTCTCAATTAATTCCAATAAATATAATGCCTAGAATGTTCTTATTCATAAATAAGTTTCGTCTTGATCACGTCACCTGATTGTCTCATTCAGCATAGGTAACAAACGTGCCATCCGCGTCGTAACAAGTCTTGTCTTAACTTAAATTGTCAGGTAATATATATATATATATATCTTCCTCTTCAGAAATATGGGTTAGATAAATAGAATTTGACACTCGTGCCGGTGTGATGTAACTGATTAAACCTCGTTAAATGTATCCATGCGTTACGTTCTAAACGCTTGTGAACCTTCAAATTATTGAACAAGTTTAATACATTTAATTTTAATGCTCGAATATAGTTTTTAGTGTATATGATAATCCTCTCGACCTGAGTTGAACATTGTAATAAATTTTGGTATTCAATCTCTACAGAGTCATGATAATGAGTTCTGGTATAACGGAGCGCACCGTTATCAGTATCACAAAATCAGTGGGATATACTGGTGAAAACGGAGAGAGCAGATCTCCGGAAAAGATTGTAAAATAAAACAATGGTTAGTAACTCTTCCTTATACAGACTGTGGTCTGAAAAAAACAAACAACTTCATGTCATTGCGGCCACGCTTATAAAAAGCGGAACATTTCTTTCATAAAGATAGAAATACAATTCATAAAGACAACAGTTAGATATGATAAAGAAATGATGAAAAAATGTCTTTAAACATAATTTTGAGAGTCTGGTATGAAAAATTAATAAATTTGTTATTTAAATGATCTTTTGTCTGGACATCGGTTCCCGGCCGTTAAGTATTTCGGAACGACCATTTTGTCAAGCCGTACCACATGAACTATTGACCCACGCCCTTATAAATTTGGTAGCTTAACACATCGTGCTTTCAGAAAGAACAAAAATTGTGATTAAAACCATTCACCATAAAATATTATGTGTATTTTTAATTAATTTACATTTTGACATGTCAAACATCCTCCCGGATATAATGAAGTAATATATCAAGTCCATCCTCGTATGTCAATGATTTTTTGTCGTCTGCCATGTAAATAAAAATCGACCATGGATATTAGGCTACTTTTTTGCAATTGTTGGCTATGGAAGCCCGAACATGCATGCCTTACAATGAAAAATGATGATTTTGAAACTATCACGTTTGATGACTCATTTCTTAACTTATTTGTAGCAAGTTGTAGACCGAGAGATGAAAAGATAATTTTATTAAAATTTCTCAGTTGTGTTATGAAATAGGAGCTTATCGACAATTATGGCTTATTTGAGATAGAAAAAAACTTTAATATATAGAGCCACACATAAACACATAGGTCCACCATTTTCGTACCATTGTTTTAATTTTTTGTCATCAAAATGTTATTCCCGTCCAAATGATGATTTTATGTAAAGCACGTGTACTTCTGGGTTACTCTAGACTAACTCAAGCGTCTCTGTGATTTAATGATGTCATCAGAAACGGAAGTGCAATCACAGGTCCGATACATATGTCGATCATTTCAGGTGAACGAATTTGAAGTCTTTTCCGCGGATATTGAAAAAAATACTGGTCTTTTACCGGTCAATTTTAAAATAATATTTAAATATGAACACATTTCAAGTCATTTATGTGTTTGATTGGTGGCAGTTCACCGGCAAAGCGTAGCTAGCGAAAATGATTGTTAAGGGATCCTAAACCTATGCGCCAAGGGTATTGTAACTGCTCCGTTAAGGTTGGCAGGGACGGATAATCGATTTATTATTCATTTACGAAAAAGATCACTAATACTCGAAACAGTCATATCATCAAATTGATGATTTATGTTATTATACCGAATTAATGATATCAAATTTTGTGAGAAAATATTAAAACAACGCCTTATAGAAAGATGGCGTTTGTTGTGGTAATGGGTCGTCTGCAGAAATCGAACATAAAAGTTACGTGGAATTACATGCAGATTGTGGATTTAAAGTTACTTTAAAAAGTCCTTTGTGATTGATGTTGTACTGTATATTTGGACGTTTATTAGATGTGCACCATTAATTTGTCTGTTTCATATAAGTAAAAAGTGGTAACTTTTTAATTCGAGTGTTAAAAAATACTCCTAAATATCGTCTCATCTAAAATAATGAGACCTCCCTTTATTCGGAATATCTCTCGATATACTACGTTCACCTAATAATAAAATTAGAGAGCATACGAAATTCGAAAGATGGCGGAAGGTGGAGGGGAAGAGGAAAACCCTTTTTCTTTCAAGAAGTTTATGTCTAAAACAGAGAAAAAGGAAAGAAGGGAAACCGAAGATAAAGATAACAGCAACGAAGACTTTGATGTTGATCTGCTTCCAGATATCAGTCTATCGAGTCAAATCAAAGAAAAAGCATCCGTCGTGAAAGAAGGTGGGCTGGGTTATCCTATCTCCGATCTTTGTTCACCTGAAAGGACCGATCCCTATCTTATCATAGCTGTATATTTGACTCGAAATTATTTGAATTCTCATTTCATTTGTTGTTGATATAAAATCTGTTGACAACTATGCTATATAACAGAGGATCTGATACTCAAATAGCCAAGTAATTGACATTTGATGAAGACCAGGTTGAACTACAGGAATCTGATATTCCTGATGAAATTATGTGTATGCTGAGAGGCTTCAATACCAACATCCTAACTTTTTCTAAATGACATTTTGGCTTCTTTTCCCCTTATATTGCACTCACCATTTATATAGATACAATCATCAGTATGTGACTACGTTGAAGGACGATGATTAACAGATAAATGTAGATGAAAATCGTATAAAAAAAAATTACATGATACCTGCTATTTTGTGTTGTATACAATATCTATATTTAATTTATAGAACAATAGGAACATCTGATTCCTTTGGCTAAACAGGTTGGGAAAGTCGTGACAAATAAGCATGTGGAAAAGAGATATGTAAAGCAATATATTAAAATCTAATGTAAACTTCTGATGCCAGAAATAAAGACATCATGCAAAATCAAATCCGTCTCAGTTTTCCGAGTGACTTCCCAGTTCTTTTTTCCCCACTTATTTGGGAAGTGGCTTTTTTATCTGATTTTTATAAGAAAACTGGTCAGGTGGAACGAAAATTTAAAGGAGTAAATTATACGTTTTGGGAATTCTGCCATATTATGAAAAAATCCAATAAGGAATCCCATAGTAACTCAAAGAAATTTCAGATGCATTCATTTGTGTTTAAATATTTATTGATCCAGTGAAAACATGATTTTTAAAAAAATGTATTATATTTAACTTATTTTATTACTCAGATTATATCTACCAGCTGGCTTATTACTGTTTCAAATAGTTTGAATAGCTGAAGAATACAACTGAGTGAACAGCCCAAGTCTAATTCTAATAAAAAAAAAAAAGCAGCATAAATTGTTAAACTTTAGCTTACCTTTTGTTTTATTTTCCAAACTAGAGCCAAATACCAAACCGAAAAAAAAGGGAGGAGATGAAAATCCATTTTCATTCAAACGTTTTCTGGAATCAAGCAGTAATGGAGCGAGACCAAAATCTGTCAGTAACAGATCAAGCACTAGTCCACCGGTGCCAAGACATGTTTTGGATGGCAGCCCCAGTCTGTCCAGGAACACACCAGACTTTGCCAGTGACTTGCCAGATTTTGTTCAGGACCATTTCAGTGATTTAGAAAGAGAAAGATTGGGATCCAGGGATCTAGAACTACCAGATTTTACTCAATTTTCGAATTCCAATGAGGGCCTTGGAGATGTAGGATCCCCCTCCCTTCTTTTGGGAGGGGGCAGTAGAAGTCGTACCTCTAGTCATGGTCGAGTGACCCCACAAGGGGATAGTGGAATGGACAAAGTTAATGACTTAGTGCAAGATACATCATCACAAGTACCCACAAGCTTACCAGATTTTTTGTCAGATGGTGTTTTTAACAGTTCAGACATTACACATAGTGGAGAGTCAACATACCATCCGAGTTCATGTAATAGTCATGGAATTTCGTCGGTACGAGAAGGCGTCGCTTCACTAGAAATAAATGGAGATTTTGAGCTAGAACTGAGAAGGGTAAGTTGACATTTTCTACCAGGAAGCAAAACTTTGAGCTTCTAACTCTTAAAAAATATACTCACTTACATTTGTTTATAGATTGATAATTTTTTTAATTGTTTACAGCATTTATGCATTTGTTTGTTATCATCTGTCTTCATTAATTGATCGTTTCTCATTCTACTTCAATTTGAAAATATTTTGACCCTCCATTATATGATTCTAAATCCATTATATTAAGCAAATTTACAAGCACAACTATTTCTAATTGGAAAAAAACTTTTTAGAATATTGTGTACTTTGTGAATTTTCTGGTTTGAAAAATCACATGACATCAGCTCTGCAAACTGGTTTACTGTTAGTAAGAGCAAAAAAATAAAAGCTACTTTCTTCTGAATCAGGATGGTTCTAAGTTAGGTTTTTAAGCTTTGATATCCACAGAACAGATGTAAATGTAAACTTGTATGGATGTCTAATTTTTGTCACCAGTATCGAGAAGAGAACAACTTACTACGTCAGCAATTGGCAGAGGCACGGCAGGAAGCCGTGTTAGAGACGCAGAGGTGCCATAAAATGAAGAAAGACATGGAGATTTTACAGAAAAAGGAGGCAGAAGATACTGCAGCCCTGGAGAGAATGGTGCAACAAGTCGAGGCTAACCTAATCACAACTACGGTAGGAACAAATAATTCAAAGTTTGGCTTTGGATTTGCAACATCCTCGATACTCCAGGGGTTACGATTCAGGGCTCTTACACCCCATTTTGGGACTGAGGCCCGGGGCCCTTAGAATTGGGAAAAATAGCTGCGTTTTCCTTAGAATTGGTAAAACTTAGGGTCTAAATTGGGAAAAAAAGATACTATTTTGCATTGGGAATGGGGCCGAATGTCGGCCTCAAATCTGGCAGATTGAGAGCTCTGCGATTAATTTCGGTCTCTGCACCCATGGAACATGTCATGGCAAAATTGAAGGCACAAGTGAAGTTATTTGATTGGTTCTAGAAGAAAAAAACTAACCAATCACAGGGTGAAGACTACAAAACAGTGACACCCTACTTCAAAGCTATTACAATATAACGTTTTGTGACATCGAGATGCATTTAATGTACATCTAGTGATCAAACTATTTTTTCTTCTTATCTGCAAGGTTTCGCACATTGAACCTTTAGTTTTGCAGTAACATGTTCCAGGGATTCAGAGAGCAAAAGTGATCATGATCCCTGGAGTATCAAGGATGGGTTTTTAATTTGTTGTATCTTGTTTGATTGGAGCTTAAGGTGCTGAAATAAAATTACAGCAAATCTTGAATGTTGGTCCAATCAGGTGTTACACTAAAAGTGTCTGCACAATGTTTGAAAAGGAAATTCTCTAAGAAAGGGAAAAATTTCCTAAGTTGTATTTTTTTGTAACCATATCTTACATTGACAAATCCTTCATAAAAGTATCATTCTTCTTTCAATAAACAATTTTTAATTGGCTGGTGACAAGGGGCTAGTTTTTATTCTGTGAAATATCAAGAATTCTTTTATTGTACAGCTGTAATATCAGTGTATATGACTTTTTACAAATTCAAACAGTAATCTAGTTGATCACCCTTGATTTAATGTTAAAAACTATTTTTTAAAGGTAAATTCATGCATATTGTGATGTTAGAAGGAGTAATGGTTATTTTTTATTTTTGTTTTCAGCAAAGAGCTGTTAAGGCAGAGAATACAGTGTCACGACTCCAGGCAGAGGTCAAAACATTACAGGTATGAAAGTCATGTTGTCCAACACTTCACAGGTGTCAGACAGAGGTCAAAACAATGGAGGTAGGAATGTCATGTTGTCCAACACTTCACAGGTGTCAGACAGAGGTCAAAACATTAGAGGTTGGAATGTCATGTTGTCCAACACTTCACAGGTGTCAGATAGAGATCAAAACAATGGAGGTAGGAATGTCATGTTGTCCAACACTTCACAGGTGTCAGATAGAGATCAAAACAATGGAGGTAGGAATGTCATGTTGTCCAACACTTCACAGGTGTCAGACAGAGATCAAAACAATGGAGGTAGGAATGTCATGTTGTCCAACACTTCACAGGTGTCAGACAGAGGTCAAAACATTATAGGTAGGAATGTCATGTTGTCCAACACTTCACAGGTGTCAGACTGAGGTCAAAACAATGGAGGTAGGAATGTCATGTTGTCCAACACTTCACAGGTGTCAGACAGAGATCAAAACAATGGAGGTAGGAATGTCATGTTGTCCAACACTTCACAGGTGTCAGACAGAGGTCAAAACATTACAGGTAGGAATGTCATGTTGTCCAACACTTCACAGGTGTCAGACAGAGGTCAAAACAATGGAGGTAGGAATGTCATGTTGTCCAACACTTCACAGGTGTCAGACAGAGGTCAAAACAATGGAGGTAGGAATGTCATGTTGTCCAACACTTCACAGGTGTCAGACAGAGATCAAAACAATGGAGGTAGGAATGTCATGTTGTCCAACACTTCACAGGCGTCAGACAGAGATCAAAACAATGGAGGTAGGAATGTCATGTTGTCCAACACTTCACAGGTGTCAGACTGAGGTCAAAACAATGGAGGTAGGAATGTCATGTTGTCCAACACTTCACAGGTGTCAGACAGAGATCAAAACAATGGAGGTTGGAATGTCATGTTGTCCAACACTTCACAGGTGTCAGACAGAGGTCAAAACATTATAGGTAGGAATGTCATGTTGTCCAACACTTCACAGGTGTCAGATAGAGATCAAAACAATGGAGGTAGGAATGTCATGTTGTCCAACACTTCACAGGTGTCAGACTGAGGTCAAAACAATGGAGGTAGGAATGTCATGTTGTCCAACACTTCACAGGTGTCAGACAGAGATCAAAACAATGGAGGTAGGAATGTCATGTTGTCCAACACTTCACAGGTGTCAGACAGAGGTCAAAACATTAGAGGTTGGAATGTCATGTTGTCCAACACTTCACAGGTGTCAGACTGAGATCAAAACAATGGAGGTAGGAATGTCATGTTGTCCAACACTTCACAGGTGTCAGACAGAGGTCAAAACAATGGAGGTAGAAATGTCATGTTGTCCAACACTTCACAGGTGTCAGACAGAGGTCAAAACATTATAGGTAGGAATGTCATGTTGTCCAACACTTCACAGGTGTTAAACAGAGGGGGATCCTGTTATGACAGATATGAAATAATTCTGCCTCACACATCATCATGTTATGTAGCTTAATCATATGATAATCAGATAATGCCATCAGTTTTAACACATATTTAGTAAACCATTGATGATACATTTCATGGCGACTACATTAAATATGCTGAGATTTTATTAAATATGCCAGTAAAATAATGAAACGTGGGTTTGGTAGGTGGACAGGAATATATTTTATCTGTGGTGTGATAATTTTGCTGGCAAACATTCAACATACCTCATGCTCACCAGCCATACTCTTACACTCTGTTAGTGATTCACCTGTAAATGCTACCTAAACTAATTACTGTTGTTGGCTCCAATGTTAGCGCACATTATCTCTTATTGTGGGAGGCAACTGGAGTACCTGTGGGAAAACCCATGTGGACGGGCAGTTGACCCCATACCTTTTTACATCTGTCTGGGAATCAAACCACATATGGCTAAGTGAAAGACAAAAGCATTGCCTTTGTGCCTGACAATTAACTTCAGGTGATACAAATGGTTTAGAATCTAATGCTGTAATTACTATGATTTTTGGAGAACTTCCCTTAATCCATTTAAGTCAACATTCATTGAAATGAGACACAATTATTTTATTTTTCAGGGTCGGTTGACCAGTATGCGTGCAGAGAATGAGATACTAAGGTCTGGAGACCGGGGTTTGGCTGATATAAGACAGAGAACATGTCACGTATCCCAGCAGTTATCTACAGCAGCCTCAGCTGCTGAACAAAACATTAGGTTGGTGAAAGTGTACACGATATAATTGAATATCGTAATCTCATCCCCTTTTCAGGATTGAGAAGTCAGAAAAGATATTGTGGAAGCAATTGAATGCGTTGGTAACACTTTGGTAAATCTGAATCACTTTTGTTCATGTGAAAAAAATAAGTTTTTCATAATTTTAAATGTAACATTTCAGACTATGGTAAATCTTCCGTCAGTTCGAATAGAATGGTATTTTAAACACATGATTTTTTCAATAAAAATTTCGTTGTCAGTCAAATGATAATTGGCACCCTTTCTCGTCTTGTTACTTGTACATTTCAAATTGTTCGAACGTATCATTAGACTGCACAAATAACTATTTATAATGATATCGGCATCACAATAATAACCCCATATGGTCATCAACGTAAACACAGTGAGTATCCGACTGTAAATGTCCATCGTAAGCAAATGATACTGCCAAATTATACTCATACATGTCGCAAAATTAGTATTGAGTCAGTGTGATTTCTTTCACATCTTGCCGTCATACCATGCTTGTGCTATCTGACACAATTTGAGGCCCTAACTCTGTATTACAAGCGATCAGTGAATACAGACCACGGGATGTTGGCAAGTGTATTGTCAAAGTGCAAATAGTGTTTCACTTCACACTTCAATAAGTTAATCACATCAAGACAATCCCGTTTTATTACGTCAAATGAATAATTGTCGGAATCACAGATGTTTTAACAATTCATAGTCATAAGTCTTATTTCACACTCCTCGTTGAACTGATGTGTCTCAACACTGACTTCTGCCAATACACAAACAGACATTTTTTTCAGGCTTCAACTAACACAGTGTCTTCGTTGTGATATCCACTGTGATGAAGAACAAAATAAATTCTGTGATTTCTGAACAGTCAATTAACATGGACAGGAACTCATTATATATCAACATAAAATTTTCAGAAATGCCAATATTGATTATTGGTTTCCTGTCCTGCTAAGAAGTTTTCAAACACTTCGTCACGATTTTGGGCAATATGGACTTTGATAGTTTGAACTTTAATTTATTTTCTCAACCATAATTTTGCATAATTCGAACAGGTTAAACAATAGCTTTTCTTTTCTTTTCTGACTGACAGAAGGTTTACCGTAATATACACCTCAAAAGACCTAGCCAGCACTGCTCTGATAGCTAGAAATTATCATTGTAAAGATAAGCTTTAAGATTTAATATGTTTACTGAATGACTGTTTTGTAAACTGTATTTTTGGAATAATTTGTATGAATTAGAAGACATTTTAAATATTTTTGAAAACTTAAACAGTATATTACATATACTGACAAGTTATTGTCTTTTTTTCAGATTTAATTCCTTAAGGCAGCTCTTTGAGATATGGTATGAAAAATAATTAAGGAAAAAGTACAGCAATTTTTTTTTTATTACACCTGCTTCACTTAATGTGGTTCTTTTTAACTTTTCGACAGGCAACTATTACAGGGAGTGGATAGTCTTCGGCAGTTCTCACAAATATTATCATCAGTTGAGAAGATCACCGAAGAACCAGTCGAACAGCAAGAGCCAGGAAGCCAGCCAAGTGAAACTAGCCACAGTCAAACAAACAAAAGCAACAAATCAGAAAAAAATAAAAGTGGCCAATCACAGCACAGAAAAGCAAAGTCTCCGGACGACGATGACATCCAGCATAAAGATTCATCTACACATGAAAAAGACAGAGATGGAGAAGTTACGTGACTCTGGCTGTGATGGCAGTTTGTTACCAGTGTGTAGGTGGTGTATTTTTATATCATAAAAACCTACTGGAATAGTTGATTTAACCATGTATTTGATGTTATTTTACAAGATGAGTCCAAGATGTTGTGGTCAGAAATCTTTGGTCATCTTATTCAACATTTAGTTCAATTTCAAAAGCATTGGAAAAGTGGACTGTTTGAGGAGGTATTTGCTGAGCCTAGTGGTGACTGTGATTATACAAGCTGTGCTTTTTTTGAAAAATTGTGGATTATTAACTGTGCTGCATTAAACTTTTGTTAAAATTAACTAAGGGAGACAACTGGTCTTGTAGAGTAAACATTGGTTGCGTGTCTGCAACTTATGTTCACCAAACCAATATAGCTTTGGAGTTTTACCAGTTCAATGTAATTGTGTAACATCAAAACTGTTTCAAAAGGAACAAAATTATACGTAACAAATTAAAGTCCGTTGTCAAGCCAATATGAGATTTGTTAATCAGAATTTTCTGATCATCATCATTGTATATTCGTTTATTTACTTATTGGGGATAAATAAGTTTATGTAAGTAGTCATCGAAAATCTAATGATCTCTCTGTTAATTACAAAGTCTAATTAATGCAGTTTAGATCTATGAAACTTTAATTCCTCTTGAAAACACATGGTAAAATTGAGGGATTTTGAAAGCTATTAAATTTGCATAGTGAAGTCAAATTACCTTTAAAAAAATCGTGTTTGAAATCAAACATGTACTATGTTGTGAAATACTATGTGGTTTAATTTTTTAATTTTTTTGACGGAGTAAATATTGCACATTATTTATAGAAAGAGCAATGGGAACTCATTTTTGGGGGAGTTCGGATGATATTTTTTTTTTCTTCAAATCTGTGATATTAAAAAGTGCTATACAGTCAACCTACTGAATTTAGACTTTAAATTAACTATGTGATGGAACATATTAGTGATACAGATATTTGTTCATAGTATTTATAGATTATAAATAGATTCTATCGGCAGTGTTAGTCACTCTCACAGATAACGCTTCCTGTTCAGGAAGTAGATAAGTTTTGGACGATCAGTTTGTTAGTATTAATGCTCAAAAATTATTTCAGAAGAAGAAACTGATCTTCAAGTGAATATTTATCAAAGTACCATGGTCGCAATACATAGCGGACCATCAGAATTATATTTTTCTAGGTAAAACTACAGGGAAATCTCTCTTCTCTCTCACTGTCCTCATGCAGATATGGAATTTTGCCCTATCTGACCAAATCAATTGGTCCCAGCAAACCTCATTTGACTTAAAGCAAACTCTGTAATCCTGAATTTTAATTCAACTCGACTAATGATTGGCTCTAGTTGTAAAATTTATTATAGTAATTTATAGGTCAACTCTGCTACCTTCATCTACACTAGTTATTTAATTCATCATACAGAATTTTATAATTTATCATTCCCGAAAATAGAATAAATTAATAAAACCCAACTCACTAAGTAGATTTGTGGCAAAGTAAATTGTTGATATTCTTTTATTCTGTCTTTATTGCAGAGTTTGACGTAAAAAGTGTTGGGTCACCAATTCATTATCAATTTGTCATTCAACAATATCGTAAATGAGTATGAAAGGAATTAGCATAGATTTTCAAGACATTATTTACAGATGAAAGGTATAAATAACGCTGAAATTATTATAGAAAAAATAGTAATTTGTACAACTTTCTTTACATTGTTGATCCAAAATTATCACTTGTTTTTATTTTTAGTAAATTCCCTGTGTATTCAGAATATCAATATATTGATGTAATGGAGGAAATTTTAACTTGTTTAAGATATATTCTATCGTTAATACATTATTTTTTGTCTGGTTATGTAATGATTTTGTCAGGTTGATACGACAAAGTATTTCATCATGATGTACATTATATTCTGTTGGTTACCATGACAATAGTGATCATTTGATGTACAAGTCGTGTCACCTAATAACTGTATTTCTGGTTTACAATGGTGTATAGAAATTGAGTGTAGTCTTTATCAATCACTGTCAGGCTTACCATGGTTTGAAGTAAAGGAAGTAATTGAAGGGCAAATGTATCGTTTTGCAAATCTGAAGATGGTGTTTGTATAACACTGTGATTGTATCCTGTAAAAATTTAGCCATGTACAGGGCCCCATTTTAGCCCCACCAGTATTAGAGAACAATGGTTATTGATATTTTCTCACATTAATTTAAGAAAACCTCTGAAAGAAAACAAAAAATACATTTAAATCAACTCTCCAGGACATTTGACAAAGTTGAAAGTTTACTGATGAAATATATTTTTTTAATTTTACCTAAAATCGTCAATTCAGTTTGTTTCCCCTTGACCTGGAAAAGTCAGATATAAGTGCTAAAATTTACAGACTGTCAGACCAGCAACATTAAATAGAGAATGAATCCTTACCAGGGAAGTAACTCTGCCATCTTTGATAGATTATGAGAGGCATCAATAATCCTGAATTTTTTTTTAAAAAAATAAAAAAGAAGGAAAAATCCTGTAGTGATAGATGTAAGTTAAATGTAATTCTCTTATTCAATATTTCAATTTTTTTTTTAGAAATTTTCAAGAAGTCAGTTTCAAGAATTGTTTCATAGAATAGCCTTTGCTATAAACCCATGTCCAGTAATCTCCCTTTACATTTGAAGATTTTTAGTTTGAAATTGGTCTGAACAGTGTTATGATTAAAAGCTACATTTTGTAAACAAAGCACCATCAAAAGCTGAAATGGTGACAACTGATATATATTGTAGACCACTGTCAAAAGTCAGTTATAGTTTTTGAATACTGCCCAGTTATTTGATATCTAAATCCGAACTTTGTGACCATTTATTGATTAAGATAAATTGTCGTTTATTATCATGTCATATTGTTACGTGTAAAACAATTAAAAAATAATACTACATTTTATATGAACTTCTAAATGAACACAAACTAATAGATATTTCAATCAATTTTCAAAAAAAAGAAAGAAAAAATGTTTACGTCGTTTATGGTTTGATAAAAGAAGTTTCTTTGACTGAACATTTTTTCCAAAAAATGTGATTTAAAAAAATAAATGAAATATTCTGTTTTAACGTAACTTACTTCAAAGTCTTACGTAAGCGAAAGACTTCCATGTGATACACTGTACAGACAATGATGACTAGAAACTGTTAAGTGAATGTCCAAGTGTTGTGAAGAAATGCTAAGAATACCACCGATTCTACTGAGTTTATACCGATACAGACCCCCTGGATAACATTATTTTTGTATGCATTATAAGATTATTTCATTGGTTTAAGAAGCTTACCCCTCAAGTTGCCCATGTATGATAAACAGTTTATATTATTGTGCAATTATCATGAATAGGAGTGACTGATTTTAAAAATGATTTGGTGAGTGTTTTGAGAGATACTGGTGTGAGAGTGTTGGTTTAATATGAAAACAGATATTTGCTTGATCTGGTTCTAATTAAAGTTGTCAAAAGATTAATTTTGTTGTTTTCAGATTTTTTCATCCCTGCTTGAGGTTTTAGATAAAAAAAAAACCAGCGCTGCTTAAAGTGACTGGCTTTTTTTATTGTCCCTAAACCATACATATTTTCATTACCTTCACAAATATCCACAAATCTTCATGAAATTTTGCAGAAATCTTATTTGGTGAAAAATGAAACAATGTTCTGAATTATGTGAACCCACTCGCCAGGAACCTACAGGGACTGTATTCATTGGATTGATGAACCATCAAGTGTGACCTTGTGTGGATGGATCAGTGATACACCACCACGTGTAACCTTGTGTGGATGGATCAGTGATAAACCAAGTATAACCTTGTGTGGATGGATCAGTGATAAACCAAGTGTATGCTTGTGTGGATGGACCAGTGATAAACCAAGTGTAACCTTGTGTGGATGGCTCAGAGATACACCATCAAGTATAACCATGTGTTGATGGATCAGTGATAAACCAAGTGTAGCCTTGTGTGGATGGATCAGTGATAAACCATCATGTCTAACCTTGTGTGGATGGATCAGTGATAAACCAAGTGTAACCTTGTGTGGATGGATCAGTGATAAACCAAGTGTAACCTTGTGTGGATGGATCAGTGGTAAACTATCAAGTGTAACCTTGTGTGGATGGATCAGTGATAAACCAAGTGTAACCTTGTGTGGATAGATCAGTGATACACCATCATGTCTAACCTTGTGTGGATGGCTCAGTGATAAACCATCAAGTGTAACCTTGTGTGGATGGATCAGTGATAAACCAAGTGTAACCTTGTGTGGATGGATCAGTGATAAACCATCAAGTGTAACCTTGTGTGGATGGCTCAGTGATAAACCATCAAGTGTAACCTTGTGTGGATGGATCAGTGATAAACCATCAAGTGTAACCTTGTGTGGATGGATCAGTGATAAACCAAGTGTAACCTTGTGTGGATGGATCAGTGATAAACCAAGTGTAACCTTGTGTGGATGGATCAGTGATAAACCAAGTATAACCTGGTGTGGATGGATCAGTGATAAACCAAGTGTAACCTTGTGTGGATGGAACAGTGATAAACCAGCAAGTATAACCTTGTGTGGATGGATCAGTGATAAACCATCAAGTGTAACCTTGTGTGGATGGATCAGTGATACACCATTAAGTGTAACCTTGTGTGGATGGATCAGTGATACACCATCAAGTGTAACCTTGTGTGGATGGATCAGTGATAAACCATCAAGTGTAACCTTGTGTGGATGGATCAGTGATAAACTATCAAGTGTAACCTTGTGTGGATGGATCAGTGATAAACCAAGTATAACCTGGTGTGGATGGATCAGTGATAAACCAAGTGTAACCTTGTGTGGATGGATCAGTGATAAACCATCAAGTGTAACCTTGTGTGGATGGATCAGTGATACACCATTAAGTGTAACCTTGTGTGGATGGATCAGTGATAAACCAAGTGTAACCTTGTGTGGATGGAACAGTGATAAACCAGCAAGTATAACCTTGTGTGGATGGATCAGTGATAAACAAAGTGTAACCTTGTGTGGATGGATCAGTGATAAACCAAATGTAACCTTGTGTGGATGGATCAGTGATAAACCAAATGTAACCTTGTGTGGATGGATCAGTGATAAACCAAATGTAACCTTGTGTGGATGGATCAGTGATACACCATCAAGTGTAACCTTGTGTGGATGGATCAGTGATACACCACCAAATGTAGCCTTGTGTGGATGGATCAGCGATAAACCAAGTATAACCTTGTGTGGATGGATCAGTGATAAACCATCAAGTATAACCTTGTGTGGATGGATAAGTGATAAACCAAATGTAACCTTGTGTGGATGGATCAGTGATAAACCATCAAGTGTAACCTTGTGTGGATGGATCAGTGATACACCAAGTGTAACTTTGTGTGGATGGATCAGTGATAAACCAAGTGTAACCTTGTGTGGATGGATCAGTGATAAACCATCATGTCTAACCTTGTGTGAATGGATCAGTGATAAACCACCATGTCTAACCTTGTGTGGATGGATCAGTGATACACCACCAAGTGTAACCTTGTGTGGATGGATCAGTGATAAACCAAGTGTAACCTTGTGTGGATGGATCAGTGATAAACCATCAAATGTAACCTTGTGTGGATGATTCAGTGATACACCATCATGTCTAACCTTGTGTGGATGGATCAGTGATACACCATCAAGTGTAGTGTAACCTTGTGTGGATGGATCAGTGATAAACCACCATCA